GTTTTTGTGGTCAATTTTGGATCCTGCATAGGCAGCGATAAGCCAGAGTCACTTTTTTTCAAAGCCAAAATTGTTATATATGGTCTCACTCGCTGTAGACGTGAACATGTCATATAAGTAATATAAAGTTTCCAGAAAAGGCCTAAATACAAATTTATTTGTATCATTGATTAATTCTAATAAATTCAAGACATGATACGTACATGATTAATGTCATGAAAGATGCATGTTTATTCGTTTACATGTAAGTTGGCATATGAATTAACGAGAGCAACTTCCACTAGTAAGTCACGTTCCCAGTCAGGTTAGGACGCCCCATCTTGGTCCGACCCAACTAAGTAGGTGGCTTACGATTTGTTCACCATAAGAAGCGAAACTAATCCCACTTGTATCCCGCCCACTGCCATTGTAGACACTTATAAGTCTCTACTTGTGAGATTGACTATCTAGGGTGATCTTATCTTAATTTAAGTGTCTGCTGTGTTGGGGTAATTAAGGTGGACTAAAGGTTGACAGACTGGTTATATGATCATGGACATACCTAAAATGAGGGTTTTCGTGCATCTAGTTCTTCAATTATGTATCTACCATTTTGGTGATAAAAATAAATGTAAATTAATCCCATCGAATAAATAACGTATTGACGTTTATATTGCCCATTGCTTAGCACGAACGAAGTGTGAATTTTCGTACTCATTAAACCAGTAGTTAATTACGCACTCTGATTAGAATTGCTCTACTACGCAACGTTGGCTGAAATCTATAATTGCGAGAATGAGCTACTGCATTTATTCAAAATCGCTTTCGAGTCATTTGCTAGCAAAAAAGAAAAAAGGGGAAAGCTGAAATAATCAGACATCATGACCTTACAATGTTGATAATAAACTGGCAGATTTTTAGTTAAAGAAAATCCCTGTTATCAAATATTAATATGTGGACCGGCTTTATACGCGGATGCAATATTTTGTGAGTGACATATGAGTCATTATCTGGTTATTTTAACATCAATCAACGCACATCCCATCATTTCCCTTGTTTTCATTGATTGAGATTACATTTGTATCTCTCTGTCAATTGCGTTATATTTCAGATCAGTGTTCGGCTCTATACGTAGGTTTATGTGAAATCAGGTTGCGGTTTACACATTAAAGAGACTCACATTTGCCAGAATCGTATCACAATTCAGAAGAGGAAAGAAAGGCCTATAGCAAACGCACGTGTTTGGAGAATTAAGTCCCCTATTTCAAACCACTAGACAGAGTTAAAATAGAGATCTTAATTCGGAATATTGATTGTTGATGTGCTACCCATGCACGAGGCGCTCCTTTTGTGACTTATCTGATGAGTTCGATGTACCATATTTACCACTGCATCCAGTCCCTGGTGCAAAAAATGAAATCCAGTTTAACGGATCCCCCGACCTTATTTTTTTCACCGTTAATGGCTTTGCACCGACATTGCCAATGGCAAATATATGAAGACGACCCATATGAGAGTGACTTTTCCGTCGGTGAGGTATCTTTGGAGTTAAGAATTGTGCGTATTACTTACAATAACGTGTAGCGCAAATTAACGGCGGAGGCATTTACTTCCTCTGCAAGATTGATATTCAACGTCATCACACATGGATTTTTGCAAATTTCTATACACTAGATTATACCCGCAGTATGCAATATCATCTTCTTCAAAGTCACGCCTAAAGCATTTAGAAACACGAAGTATTATCTAACATGATATATGATCATGCGGCCCATTGCTGATTAATTATCTCCTGAGAATTTAAAATAAGACAAGGAGTGCATTTGTTGGAGAAATTAAGACAATGCCATTTATCAAACTATGTAACTGCTTCTGGAACGATTTGTTAGGAAGAAGGCATATTCTGATACATGTAGAAGGAAAAATAGATCAAACTTTGATCTTCTGACACCTGCTCCGCACCCAAATCTTTCCATGCATTGGCTGAGTTGACCTGGTGGTTTTACGCCTTGCACTCGACGTACCCGCTAATATTAATTCATATTAGGGACTCTAAAATTCACTACTATAAAATTACACTACCAATGAACATTTTTATTAAAGACTACTACACGTAGCACGTCATGTGGTCAGAAAGTAAAATGAACGTACAGTGCATATCGAGCTTCCTTCCCATCAACTTTTTGCGTGGTAGGGGATGTTGCTATCACGAAATCAAACACGTTTTGTATTCTACTGGGGAAGTCTGAAGGACTTCCACATTCTAGTGAAAGTGGTTAAAGTGTTTAAACAGAGAGCGAACTCAACTGTTACTTAAATGGGTCGATCTTTTAGATCCTGCTTGTTTTTCCTGTAATACGTGGAGCGTGGGATACAGTGTACGATTTTCTGTGATAAGATAGGTCTGTGTTTTTAGATACGGTTCTTAGTAAAGTGGGGGTAGGGTTATGAAAGGAAAAACAATGATTTGCAAACAAGCGCGGTGGTTTTTAACTCACAGAATTGTGTTTTGCGGTTTGTACTGGATCAATAGAATGCCGCCCACTTCTAACTTACACTCAAGTATCGTTTAACGAGTACAGGTTAATAAGACATGGCAGTGGTGGCACACCTTCACCCCTTAACAATCTCTTCACATGCAAACAGACGGGTGCGACCACAATTTTCCAATTTTATATTATCTTAATTAAAACATTGCATACTTACACTATATCATGACTGAGGTTATTTGGTTGCGTGGAGTCCAGTGCATGACAATTAATTTTGATTTTATCGAGTGCCCTTTCTACTTCCCAATATGTTTATTTGTCAGAATTAGAAATTAGTTTTTTGATTATTATTTCAATATTTTTCTTATTAGCTGGGACAGATTTCGGACAGCTTTTCTTTTCTCCAATCGCAAAACTATCATATTTCAGACACAAATAAAGAAATGAATAAATCAATGAATATATGGATGCGTTAATTAATAAATTGATTTAATAAAATACCGCAAAATTTAACATACTACGTGAGTACATATACATGTACATGTATATTCATTACAACAGATCACATACGTATTTAGAGAAGGAAAAAAGAGGAAAAACTAATAACGACGACAACCAATAACAACATTGGTAATATAGCTATGAAGTCTTTCTGATATCCACTCCCTGTTGAGTGTGAGGTGTCAAGTTTCACAATCACTTCTTGCTTGTGATGTTCAATAAACAAATGAGTGGAACGAAGATCTTCAGTACAAAAATGCACTAAAACTTGCGTTGGGATGTACAGTGTCTGTCATTGATGTATACATGTCCAGGCCCGTAGTCAGGGGGGGTTCGGGGGGGTTCGAAAGAACCGCCCCTTTTGTCAGGAAAAGGTCCATTTTGGGTAAAATTTGATCCAAGTACACATAAGTTTCATTGTAAAAGGTCCACTTTTTCAGAAAAAGAACCCCCCTTTTGAATTTGCTGGCTACGGGCCTGATGTCCTATATGCATCTCGGATATCCTCTACAAGACTGATCCAAGTGCAAATGTACATACATACGTGTGTTAAGCATATTTTTAACCAATGAAGTCGCCTTCTATCATGCATGAAGTAGTAATGCTTGTCCTATGAAGTGGTTATATACTATGAGGTATGTTAACATACGCGGTAGTGGGTAGGAGTTTACAAATAAAGACGTACAATCGATCTTCTCCTATGTTTGCTAGGAAAAAAAGATCCCAAAGGAACGACCTGCTGCAATGCTTCCGTCTTGTTATATTTTTAAACACCAATATGAGTTTGGGCGTAATCCATGTGGGGCAATTCCAACAACTAAATTACAGTAAGTGATGCTGTTATATACAATCTTTGTATAATGCATGTAACGAGTGTTGATTGCACGGGTTTCATTGTTTTTGGTGTACCAGTTTTACTAACGCAATGCGGCGTTTCCTCCCCTAACGACGGACCTCTGGGCAAAAGTTTCACTAGCACATTAATGCTCTCGCAAGCACACAGTTTTTTATGTGTGTTACTTTTGTGTCGTTTTTCATGATGTTCTATGTACGCATTGTTTCTTGTTAAAGAAAAAATAACAATTGACTGCCATACTATAGTATTACATTACACAAAATATGTTCAGTTTATTTATATCAGTAAAGCGGATCTACTAGTACTTCATATAACAGAATATTGGTCCATCTAAAAAACATTTTTGGTAATCTTTAACCACAAGATATTTCAATTTTATTTTATATAGAATTCCATTCCCAGTAGCTGCCCACAGTAGATAGGCTATCGACCATCACTACAAGGGGTGTTACCATATCAAAAAGAAATTTTGGCTATAAGTGATCCGAACAAGTAAACATTTTTGCGATAAACACCTTTGAAGTGATTCGACAGCTTCGTTATCAAGTACAAAATATTGCACATTATTGCCGAGTGAATCATATTATCGAACTTTCATGATTTACACTGCTCCCTTCATTATTTTATTGCCATATCTAGGGTTCGTTTGGGTTTGAATCTACGTAATAAGTTGAAATTAAAAATATTGATTTTACCTCCAGGTATGGTGTTGAAATATAATGTGTGATTTAGACCCCTAATAACCTAGAAAACATTCCACCCAAATCTGATACATTGTTCATGATTTTATAGAGTGATGTGAGAGGAGCTTGTTGTTATTTGGGTTTTCTTTTCTACATTTTCGGGCAGGGATTATTGCCATATTAGACTGCCGGCCACGCAAAGTGGCTATTATTCAACCAGATTCAAAGCTTGTGTTTACAGTCAACTACTGTAACCTCTTTATTTACAGAGTCTAAGTATAAAATTTGTCTGTTTCGTCCATTATTTTCACTCTTTTGTATGGTAAAGTCGTCTCACACGAGATTCATTCGCCTGATCGGTCGCACAGTAGATTGTGTTGCGTACCGGCCATTTGTAAATATTCCAACAAAGAAAGAATAACAAAATCCGACGGAACAATATTATGGATTTGACGATAAGGATATAATAGTTACTAGCGGAGAATTGTTTACGCACTGGCTGAGATGTAACATATTCTGTGAGTAGTTCATACAGGAAATTAGACGGGAGAGGGAGGAAAAGGACCCTAAATTGGATAGTAATCAATGTTTTTTCATCTTTAAAAACTACACTTAGAATGTAGTAATTACAGGAAAGTTTGGAAGAACAGGTCCGCATTGGAGCAAGCGGGATGTCGGTCCTACCACATATTCCGAATGTTACAAGGGTAAGTATTAGTAACAGTGGAACTTGAACAAATTTGTTATCTATATGGCAGAAAAACAGTCGTGTTTATTTATTAACATACAATAACGCTACTCTTTTTTATCTTGGGTGTTCGAATAAGCTCCTTCTGTCGCTCAATGTACCGGTAGTATAAGTATACACCCGCAATTTCGATGTGTAAATTTGGTACACAGCAAAACTTATTCCAATTTTATTCCAGGCCCACACCTTTACCTACCCCGAGCGGGCGGGCTCGCCGAGGAAGACCCCAGTTCCTCGGCAATCTGCACGCTCTCGGTTCGTCCGTACACCCGTCAGCTCTTTGCCCAGCCGAGCCACTAGCAGCTCGGGGCCAAGGCAACCAGTGGCTAACAAATTTCTCAGACCTATAGAACTTTATAAGCCTCCCGGGGGGAAAAGAAGACTGCCGCCAAGGTTTGCTGCTTTCGACTGTATTCCTTCGGAAATTAAAGAAACCAACTACGACATCGACCTCGATAATGATGAAGAATATGATACAGATCTAGAAGAAGAAGGTTGGTGTTAAGAAACTTTGTTTGTGTTTATTCTATTTCAATAGTTACCGAACTGTTTTTAGAATTTTCAATATACTGTACATCTCCTCTAAATTACTATATACTACAATATATCAGACAAATTAATTTCTGATAATCTCTTCTCTTGTTTTTCGATCACATTTCATTTCGTTTTATCCATAATTGTTTTGTTGAGTTTTAAAAGTATCTGGTTTGTCTACTACTCAATGTCCATAATCGTTGTCTTAGTGCACATTTTTCTCGCCCTAATCTTTTCTCTCATTTATATGTTAACATTTTGAATCCCTAGGTTTTAATTCATTTTTATTCAAATTTTTCCATTTGCCCATCATAGAAATTACTGGCATCAGGATTGCCAGTTTTCGTACACGTTTAATTTTCTTGATTTTTTCCAGACAATTCCAAAGAAGAGCAGCACGATACTAGCGGAGAAAGCTTGTACATAAGAGTATGCGAACAGCTTGGTGTGCCCCCTATCTCTTACTACGTCCGTCATATGGACGAGCCAGAATTTAAAATGCTGTACCGCAGTATGGGACCCGAAAGCGCTCGAGCACTCTCTATTCCCATGCAGGTGAGTGCAAACGTCAAGAAAGTGAGCAGTTGTATTGTTAATAAAATTAGAAAAGACAACCGAAAAGAAAGTAAGTTTCGAAAGCCATTATTCAACTTTGTCAGGGGGTAACAATTAAAAAGAAAAGTTTGTTTATTTAAGATATTCTGGAAGAATTTGATAATCTGTTCACCCCATCTCTCCCTCGAGATTGATTTTGATTTAAGCATGGACAAATTATTCATAGTTTGTATATGACTAAAGGGATCGTCATTTTTCTCAATTATGATTGTTCAATTTCAGTTTACGGTAATAGCTCGATCCTTTCAATAGAGAAAATTGCCTGTCTTATTATCTTATTATTAAAAATCATATTTCTATGCAGCGTTTGTGGAGATTTGACTGTATAGAATAGTGCTTTACATAGGATAGCTGGTTTTCCAAAAAATACAGTATCTGAAAAATTCATAACTTACCTCCTTGAAAAGATCGAGTCATTTCCGTATATTCATTACGTAAGGGGGTTTTTGGAGGGGATTGTTCTGATACCTTATCAAATTTCGCCACGTTTCTTGAGAAATTTAAATATTATCATGTGTTTGCTTTGTTGAAAGTGTAAACTGAAATCTCTTTCTCTCTCTCTCTCTCTCTCTCTCTCTCTCTCTCTCGTGTAGTGTCTCAATAACTTTACATTTTTTTGTCTTCTTTTAAAGAAAAATCTTAAAATGACAAACATAGACCTCAGTTGGAACTGGATTGAATCAACAGGAGCTAAAGCCTTTGCCAAAACACTGCAAGAAAATTATTTCATCACTGATATGGTAAGCCATAACTGTAGTTTGAATTGCAAAAAAAGCTTGAGGCTACGTTACCTAGTTATATGACAAATCATTTAATAATTGATGCTATACGTTGTAGACTTAAAAAGAGATACATGTAGGGTGACACCAAACCCAAGAAAAATTCAATGATTTTGAGCAATATCAAATGTATAAAGGTGAAGATATCATTTGTTCAGTATCTCATATCTTCTACTGTAACATCCCAGTTTACAATAATAATAATATAATTTTCCTTTTTTATTCTTTTAATTCAGAACCTCTCCAATAATAAACTAGGAAGCGCTGGTGTGAGGCTTCTTTACGAAGCCGTCAGAGACAGCATCTTTCTACGAAGCGTTAATCTGTCTGGGAATGAGATTTGCAGCAAGGATACGAAATACTTGGCTGATATCCTTTTAGTAAGAAAACTCTAAGCTAGAACCCCTATCCCCCCCCCTCTCTCTCTCTCTCTCTCTCTCTCTCTCTCTCTCAAATTATATATATATATATATATATATATATATATATATATATATATATCACACACACACACACACACACACCTACACCAGTGGCGGATCCAGGATTATTTGAAGGGGGTGGCGTGGTGTTCACCGGGTCCCGAAAATTTTTGGTATTTTAGAGGGCGAACGGTGCCATTTGGTACGGTTTAGAACTATGATTCAGCTAGTCAAAATTCTTATTTCAACAGGAGACCATTGGTGTGATTTTTACATAAATTGAGGGTGGGGGGGTGGTCAGGATCCCCTTGGCACCCTCCCTTAATCCGCCACTGCACACACACACACACACACACACACACACACACACTAGACCAAATAGATGTACTAGCACTCAATTGCATATGAAATTAACAGAGGTTTTCTCTGTGCACTAGTATTAATGAACTTTAGCATAAATGTAAACGTCACCGCACGCGGGACGGTTTGTGTGGAACACAATCCTCTGAAGCATTTTCTTCGGGGTAGACGTTATCTTTTCCCTAAAATCATATTTTCATTTCAGACTAACACAGTACTGATGGACTTGAATCTGAGCCATAACCAAATAGATGACGCAGGTTGTCTGACACTTGCCCCTGCAATAGGTAGGCCTGTGTGTGTTTTAAAAAGGGCGCAGACTTTCAGACTATCGATTTTAGCTTACGAACGGAGATAGGTATTTGTCCTTGTTCACTGATGTGAAAGACGCATCTCTTAACTTCCAGACAAATTATCCGCGTCAGGGCCTAGGAGTGCAAACGCTCTGGAAACATGATGTAACACTTCTCAGCGAAATGAAAAACGACGGGCTTGAAACGTAGAAAGAGTTATCTTGCACTGCGCATAAAGGCCTATTGAGCTGTAAAATCAGGCCTANGGCACCCTCCCTTAATCCGCCACTGCACACACACACACACACACACACACACACACTAGACCAAATAGATGTACTAGCACTCAATTGCATATGAAATTAACAGAGGTTTTCTCTGTGCACTAGTATTTATGAACTTTAGCATAAATGTAAACGTCACCGCACGCGGGACGGTTTGTGTGGAACACAATCCTCTGAAGCATTTTCTTCGGGGTAGACGTTATCTTTTCCCTAAAATCATATTTTCATTTCAGACTAACACAGTGCTGATGGACTTGAATCTGAGCCATAACCAAATAGATGACGCAGGTTGTCTGACACTTGCCCCTGCAATAGGTAGGCCTGTGTGTGTTTTAAAAAGGGCGCAGACTTTCAGACTATCGATTTTAGCTTACGAACGGAGATAGGTATTTGTCCTTGTTCACTGATGTGAAAGACGCATCTCTTAACTTCCAGACAAATTATCCGCGTCAGGGCCTAGGAGTGCAAACGCTCTGGAAACATGATGTAACACTTCTCAGCGAAATGAAAAACGACGGGCTTGAAACGTAGAAAGAGTTATCTTGCACTGCGCATAAAGGCCTATTGAGCTGTAAAACGGAATATAGGCTACTGAATAAGGTGGCACTTTCTTTGGAAACTGGAACCAGTTTCTATATCCTTGATGTCGGTCCTTTTACCTCCTTTTTAGACCCCAATTCTACAAAAAAAAAATGCTCGCTTTTCTCGGTACGACAAAATAAGTTATCTTGCTACATGTATTTCATTTTTTTTCAACCTAAATATAAAATGTGGTAATTGTGCAGCATGTACATGTAGAACCATGTTTCGTGGACAGCAGAGTAATTTTTTTCTCCTTGTACGACGAGGGGGGTATATCTGATCGGGTCGGGGGAGGAGGGCAGTATAACAATTAAATATGTCAAAATAGAACAGGTTGCACAGGTTGCAGCGCCATCCTCAAGTTGGCCACTGATTTGGTGAAATTAGAGAAACTGTTTCATTCATATCATGGATCGAAAACATAATCAAAATGTAACTGCAGAGCATGAACGACAAGCGTTAAAATGAATACCGGAACCTAATGCAACTCTATAAAATGGAAATATATCCCCGACACTTAAGTTTGTTCTAAATTATTGCTGTAAAGACATAAAAAGTGTTCAAAATCTCTCTTCATCCATTAATGAAAGCCTCGTTGTTGTAACGACATAAAGAAGTATTAATTACTTTTCAGCCATGAATGATAGCCTCGTTTCTTTGGACCTGAGCTGGAACCATATCAGAATGAACGGAGGCGTGGCGTTATCTCGTGCAATTACCGTGAGTGATTCGTCATCCATTTTGCGTCTTTAGCACTCACACACACACACACACACACATACGCACGCACTCACACATGTACAAACACACACACACACACTTGTAACATTCAGGTATTTTGTAAATGGATCCATTGTGGCATCCTAGGATGTGCTGATTCCCAACTGTTCAAATATTATCAATTAGAGGTTAAGAGGCTCTCAGTTTCCCTCGCTGGAATTATCGAAAAAAATTGTAGTTAAGAATAAAAAAACATAAGTGCATATTGTCACTTTACGTTTAAAGCACGGATGAATTAATGCCTAACTTATTTATTTCAAACTCTCTTAGTTAAAAGAATTATATTGAATGAAATCAAATAAAACAAAGCCAAATTAGATACAGAAAAAGAAATGACCAAAAATCAAATAATCAGTTTAACATCATTTCCAGGATAACATTAGTATTCAGTTCTTGAACCTTGCGATGAATGGCTTGGCATCTAGCGGGTCCATTGCCCTGGCCAAAGCCTTGACCGAGAATGATACCATCGAGGAGCTGGACATCAGTTGTAATAGAATCACCACCCCCGGGGCACTAGAGTTCGCCAAACATGGTCTCAAGAAAAATAAGGGACTTTGTGTTTTGAAGGTTAGTTGTGTATTATCATATCATATTTCAAATGTGGACTTGAAGTAATGATTTTTCCAGTTTTGATGTCGGTCTTCCTTTTTTTCATGAAAAATTGAACTAATATTATTAAGTTTCATGATATTGCAAATCCATTATCAGAACACGCCTTCACTCGACTTCCCCAAAATAAACATTGGTGTACATGGACGCTTGAATGATTAGGCGCCGGTGTAAATGTATTCTTTTAACACAGAGATTACTGACCGACTGAAAGTTAATATATTTGACAGAAAAAATTTTAGTTAAGTATATTTTTAGATTTTTATTTTTATTAAGTTTCAGATAAAATGTGCCGGTCCTGCACAAAACTTATAAAATCCAGTGCCCCACAATGGCATAAATCCCATTGTTTGCTCAAACGAACTAAAGCAAATTTGTATTGTTGGGCATTTATCAAGAGAAAGAAGTGATCGCAACTTGATTTCGTTAGCGTTATTAAGTTACGTTCCCCAGACAGTTGAAATGTGATTGAGCATAATGTACATTACAGACGAGTAATTTGTATAAAGAGGTCTGAAGCCGATGTGTTTGAAACAATTTCAAACAATTTGCATACATACAGGCCGAATGATGCGCATTTAAAGTTTTCTTCACGGCGCTCTCGGGGATACAAAATCAATTTTTGCATCATGAAATATAATACTTTGAACACCAGTGAAACGGTGACTGTAATCACTCGCTTTCCCTTCCAGATGGGCCAGAACCCAATCACGAACCAAGGAGCTATAGGGTTACTGAAAGCCATCCTAGATAACAAGGAAATCCCATTAAGAAGTTTCGATCTGAAGGTCAGTGGAAATGCCCTGTTCTGTTGCTATTGGTTTTGAGCGGCGCGAAATGGGGTCTGGGATAATAATGATAATGATCGCTCAACACCCTGAAGATGGCTAACTAGAGAAAATGTACTGTCAATTTATTTATGAAGGGCATTTAGCCTGCACCCACACGCCTTTAAGTTTCTAATAATCGTTTGAAAGCCATTTTAAAGCCCCGTGGTAAATTAATCTATAATTATGATATAATGCATTGCATCACCGAATAGCGAAACGTATGTAGCGTAGAGCGATGGAAGACCTTAACTGTATTTGGAGTTACAACTGCAACATAACGTGTGCATATATTCAATCATGTCACGATCAATCATTAAAACAAGCAGTCTGCATTCCGATTTCTTAATCAAAATTTCAAAATTTATATAAGCGCGCATTTATTCTCATTCCATTGACAGCATCTTGTAGGCCCTATATTCTGAGCTGACATTTTCCGGTTAGGGATAAGTGTTCCTTTATATTATTATTATTAGAAGAAGCCTATAGCCACATGTGCGCTTTTTATCTGATACACATTTGGCTGTTTGAAACTGTTCAAGCTGGTAACATCTTCTGACAGATGAATCAAATGTTATTGTCGTTTACGGATTGATTATCTTCATGTTGTAAATATTGACTCGATAATAAGTTCAAAGAGAACGCAATTTCTTGATTGCGTGTCGTGCCATGAAATCGCCGTACACACGGAAACCGCATTGTACCAGTCAATAGAAATATCATAAATATATTAATAGTTTTTTTTTTTTTTTTTTTTTTTTGGGGGGGGGGGGCTTGCTGCTCTTTTATCAGAACCAAGAATTTTGNCTCTGGAATTATCGAAAAAAATTGTAGTTAAGAATAAAAAAACATAAGTGCATATTGTCACTTTACGTTTAAAGCACGGATGAATTAATGCCTAACTTATTTATTTCAAACTCTCTTAGTTAAAAGAATTATATTGAATGAAATCAAATAAAACAAAGCCAAATTAGATACAGAAAAAGAAATGACCAAAAATCAAATAATCAGTTTAACATCATTTCCAGGATAACATTAGTATTCAGTTCTTGAACCTTGCGATGAATGGCTTGGCATCTAGCGGGTCCATTGCCCTGGCCAAAGCCTTGACCGAGAATGATACCATCGAGGAGCTGGACATCAGTTGTAATAGAATCACCACCCCCGGGGCACTAGAGTTCGCCAAACTTGGTCTCAAGAAAAATAAGGGACTTTGTGTTTTGAAGGTTAGTTTTGTATTATCATATCATATTTCAAATATGCAATAATGGTTTTCCAGTTTTGAGGTCAGTCTTCCTTTTTTTCATTAAAAAATGAACTAATATTATTAAGTTTCATGATATTGCAAATCCATTATCAGAACATGCCTTCACTCGACTTCCCCAAAATAAACATTGGTGTACATGGACGCTTGAATAATTAGGCGCCGGTGTAAATGTATTCTTTTAACACATAGAGATTACTGACCGACTGAAAGTTAATATATTTGACAGAAAAAATTTTAGTTAAGTATATTTTTAGACTTTTATTTTTATTAAGTTTCAGATAAAATGTGCCGGTCCTGCACAAAACTTATAAAATCCAGTGCCCCACAATGGCATAAATCCCATTGTTTGCTCAAACGAACTAAAGCAAATTTGTATTGTTGGGCAATTATCAAGAGAAAGAAGTGATCGCAACTTGATTTCGTTAGCGTTATTAAGTTACGTTCCCCAGACAGTTGAAATGTGATTGAGCATAATGTACATTACAGACGAGTAATTTGTATAAAGAGGTCTGAAGCCGATGTGTTTGAAACAATTTCAAACAATTTGCATACATACAGGCCGAATGATGCGCATTTAAAGTTTTCTTCACGGCGCTCTCGGGGATACAAAATCAATTTTTGCATCATGAAATATAATACTTTGAACACCAGTGAAACGGTGACTGTAATCACTCGCTTTCCCTTCCAGATGGGCCAGAACCCAATCACGAACCAAGGAGCTATAGGGTTACTGAAAGCCATCCTAGATAACAAGGAAATCCCATTAAGAAGTTTCGATCTGAAGGTCAGTGGAAATGCCCTGTTCTGTTGCTATTGGTTTTGAGCGGCACGAAATGGGGTCTGGGATAATAATGATAATGATCGCTCAACACCCTGAAGATGGCTAACGAGAGAAAATGTACTGTCAATTTATTTATGAAGGGCATTTAGCCTGCACCCACACGCCTTTAAGTTTCTAATAATCGTTTGAAAGCCATTTTAAAGCCCCGTGGTAAATTAATCTATAATTATGATATAATGCATTGCATCACCGAATAGCGAAACGTATGTAGCGTAGAGCGATGGAAGACCTTAACTGTATTTGGAGTTACAACTGCAACATAACGTGTTGCAACATAACATAACATACATTCAATCATGTCACGATCAATCAATAAAACAAGCAGTCTGCATTCCGATTTCTTAATCAAAATTTCAAAATTTATATAAGCGCGCATTTATTCTCATTCCATTGACAGCATCTTGTAGGCCCTATATTCTGAGCTGACATTTTCCGGTTAGGGATAAGTGTTCCTTTATATTATTATTATTAGAAGAAGCCTATAGCCACATGTGCGCTTTTTATCTGATACACATTTGGCTGTTTGAAACTGTTCAAGCTGGTAACATCTTCTGACAGATGAATCAAATGTTATTGTCGTTTACGGATTGATTATCTTCATGTTGTAAATATTGACTCGATAATAAGTTCAAAGAGAACGCAATTTCTTGATTGCGTGTCGTGCCATGAAATCGCCGTACACACGGAAACCGCATTGTACCAGTCAATAGAAATATCATAAATATATTAATAGTTTTTTTTTTTTTTTTTTGAGGGGGGGGGGTCTTTGTTGCTGCACTTTTAACAGAACCAATTTCGGACACATTTTCATGTCACGATACATTACAGATATTCTTTATCTCCAGAGATATGGGTTTAGTCTTGTAAAAAAAGGCACAACAACTGGCCACGGAAACATTCAGAGCGATTTTGACCCTATTTGTTGGCAACCACGGCGCAAATAATTGCTTTGATTTCTTCAGGGACACATTGGTAATTTTGATCGCATATTTGCGTGGTTTGCCAATGAGTTTATGCAATAACCACTTGTACTGTATCCGTAATGCACAAGTATCTTTTTATGCAGAGAATTTTGTATCCAGTCCATGTTCCAATATAATAAGAAAGTTGCTGGTAACTCATCCTTTCTTATTCCCTGTTTCAGGATTTCTCTTGTTTTTTTAACTGTAGTATTCCCCAGTGTTGAAAATAAAATCAAAATAAGAGACAGACACATAGTGTATTTTAATGATTTATAGGAATTAATAATTTTGGAATGTTAAGATGTAATATTTTCATGAAAAATGTGCGAGACATACACCCGTGAAAGTAACCCTACCTAATAGGCCTATATACAATATACATATAGCAAACAGACTTGTTTTGAATTTCTCCTTCTTTGCAAAGATGTCCTTGTGTCAGACTTTTGCCCACTTCTCTTTAGATTGAACTGATTTTTCTTTTCTTTTTCCATTCTAGGACCTTGTAGTTGAGAGAGAGTTCATGGACGTTGTACATGAAATTAAAAAAGAACGACGCATCTTCACGGTGAGAGTTGGTCACGTGACGCAGGGGAAACTCTTAGAGGGGGGAGAGGAACAGTTAGCAGACGACAACCCTTTAGAAGTGTTGCTTATCTTCATGACAGAAAAGAACCTCCGTCTTGTCGACTTATTCAAAGCGTTTGACAAAGACCAAAGTCTGAGTTTGACGCGTGATGAGTTTATACAGGGATTATCGGTAAGTGTCATTACATTTACCTATAGTACTCATGCAACTATGTTCATTTTGTATAAGGAAATGTCCAATTTGGACACTGATTTTGTAACAATTTTAGTTTTGCCTTTAACTTCTTTGTTTCAGACGCAAAGATATTTGGGAAGTAATTTTGGAAGTACTAAGCTTCAATATTTATTGCGAAATTTGTTTTTCAAAACGATGCATTTTAAAGCTATGAAATGTAACCTACATTCACACGTATAAGGATGAAATTTCATGTAAATTGAAGATGGAATACAATAAAAGGAAATTACTGAAAATGTGTATATGTGAGTTTCAAGGAAAGTACGCGAAAGAAAAGTTAAATCACTTTTGCTAAACGTGTTGTGAATCACCTTTAAGGATTGTTTTAAGCTATTGTTTGTAAATAGAGCCCTCATATAGATTGTTTACTTATTTTTCACTTACATTTTTGCACATTATGATTCAGTTCATTAAATAAGATAACTTTTTCACATTCAAAGACTGCTTTCCGTATTATTTCAGTCTGTGAACACCCCTCTCAGCGTGGACCAAATGGACACCCTCATCGACATGCTGGACAAAGATGGAGACGGAGAGGTGGACATAGTGTAAGTGTGTGGGATACATGTATATGGACATTTTATAGGATACTTAATTCACATAGTAAATGTGGATATTTGCCTTATATAGGGGTGAAAGTTTCGAAATCTTGAATAATGGGCTGTACATCAATACTATGTTATGGCGTATAGCTGGATTAATTGACCATTATCTCATACATACTGAACTTAATTCTCATCTGTTTTTTTTTTTTTTTCAATGTTTCAGAGAAATACTGAGTGTGAACAAGGACTACAAAGACTTGAAAATGAAAGCCAAGAAAAAAGTCGCGAAAGAACGCGACGAGCGTAAACGCAAGCGTCAGCAAAAAGAAGCAATGAAAAACATCGTCCGCTTCATGGAGGAAGGTGACATCAAAGAGACCGCTGAGGCCGCCAGCCAGACGGACGACCTTGAAGTTAATATAGAAAAAGACAAGTCACCAAGCCCGGGTCTTTTCAAATTGCCAAAGATAACCTTAATTACGGGGAAGAAAAGATGGGATAATCTTAAAGATAAGCTGAAGGGAGGCGGCCTGGGTAAACTTGCCAAAGCTGCCGCTAAAAGCGAGTGATAAAGACACATTCAGCTGAAGCTTATCACGTTATAGATCACGGATGTAGTTACGGCTTGCCTGATAACGTGCAAATCAGGCTACTAAAAGAGTGGAAGAAAATACTCCCATCAGCATATATGTGACTTCAGCCAATGAGATAAAAGTTAATGGCACGCAGCCCGGCATGCAACGGAAAGATTCCATCAGCTCTCCACTGTTACCGTTTTAAAAACAATGCATCAGACACATATAAATTCCAGGGACTATATGCCAAAGAGAATTTTCCACACACCCTAATTCAAAAAGAATTTGGCAAACTGATGCAACACCCAAGATGCCGCAACCGTCTTCCCCAGCTTTGCCAGTAGGATGCACGCGTTTTTTCAATCAGGTGGCTGGACAGTGTCAATGACCTTGTGACATTTGGATAGACAGTCAATTAGTGCCTATAAATAGGTGTTAGATTCTTGCGGCTAAATTGTTCACGAACACTAACGTCACCAGGCGCATGGTTTTTTTGTTTTTTTATACCCGTTTCTTTTTTTAATCACGGTGCAAAACTGAAGTGTGTTCACGTGCCAAGCATTTGATATTGTATCCCAAATACTATGAATTCATATGAATTGCTTTGAGCAATCCTCAAGCTAGCTTAGTATAGCGCAGACTCAGCTTCGAATATAGTTAAATTGTGGTAGGCCTAATAACCATTCTAAACTAAAGCTTTCAGCGTTGCTACATGTATTGCAACATTATTAATTATCATTATTGTAATAACTCTTTCATTTATACTCCTTCATTGTATTAGCGCATTTAGGTACAGTGGCTATGATGTAACAATATAATACGTGGTATATTCATGCAATACTATTACCATTTCACATTAAAACTTTTTTATTACACCCGTCTTTCATAAATCATTTTTACAGGTTAAATCTGTGTTTGATGTCAAAATAAAGCTGCCACGCGACATTGTTAAGATTAAAACACGGTTCGTAAGTAAAATAACATTCACTATCAAAACAGGACAGTGTCTCACAGAAGCAATAAATAAAAAGGGCCTTGAAAAATAAGCAAAATAAAAAAAGCATGTAATCGGTTTTTAAAGAGATATTGTATCCGTCAATAATTCATCTACTCCTTTACTTTTATATAAGGTGACGGAATGTGCATATAGTCCCCAAGGGGTTAACGAAATGTCTATTGCGTGTCGAGCAGAATAATCATAACGCAATCGGCCTCTGCACGTATGTATACTAAAATATTACGAGTACCTACATATAAGTCTATATGTACGTCGTCAATGCATACAGTTCATGATATCTAATCATCGGCATATGGGAAAGAAAGGACTGATGTTGTAGATTAAATCGTTCTTTCCGCCCATGAATACGTTGCCAGGTAGTTTGTATTATTTGCTAACATTTGACAAGTTTTAAAAAGTTTCGTATTTTGGTGTATTGTACCAATGATTCTGCGATCATTCGGAACAAAACTTTGGGGGGGGGGGAGGGGTGCCAATGTTCTTTCTGGGTTTTTTTTCCGTTAGTGAATGCAGTGATGCAATGACGAAGGCCTGTACTGGAAAACTGTCTCGGGACTCGGGAACTTATCTGGTTACAAAAGCTTTTTTTTTTATACAGCGCCTAGGTTAATTGCCCGAGACACCTGGGACGCCTTCTGCTTGGAAGTATTGCTTTTTTTGTATCGTCGGTTTTGTGTTATATTTAAATACTTCATTCAGTATCCTGTGAAAGCTCCAGCGAAATCTGTTATGTAATTATAATTTGATTTTACACGGGTATAATTGTTTACCATAGCTATTTTAACTCGGCCTAATTTGGTTTTCAATGATCAGCGCTTGGCTTCAGATAACGGCACTTCGCGTTATAAGTTGAAATTCTTGGAAAATGGCAACATTCGTAGTCGCGTATGGCACGTGTAGAGTCACTAAATGACGAAGTGGAACTCAAGTCATAATGGTGATGACGATGGTATTATCTTCGATCCGAAGATTCAGGGAAGGCATCAATTTGGGTCTTGTCTACGTCAGCATGTCATTTGGTGGCTGTAGAGACCTAATTTTGATTAACAACCTCTCCAAGACGTTTTGACCCTTTAACTTGAGCCAGTACCATCATTTACCTCTTAATAACATCAAAAGTAGTCGTATCTGTTGGGAAAACTGGAGATGATTTTTTTACCAATTTTTATAGTTAAAAGGGGATCTCTTATATACAAGAGGATTTGACTAAATCTTGCGAATGAAGCTACATGAAGCTTTCTTACTGTAATAGCCAGTATAGGTAATGTTTGTTACTACAATTCATAACACGCGTAAGTAAAGAAGAGCATGTCAAAGAGAAGGGATATGTAAGGTGTAAAAAGTAGTAGTCTGTTGATGTTTTCACATATTGACTACAGTATGGTACACAGGGACGGATCCAGAGATATTTTCTGACAGTCTTCCAAATTATCTTTGTTAATCTATCCTCCATTTTTGACCGTCTTCCGACAGAAAACATTAGATGCCCGACAATGTAAACTTGAAAATCTGACCGTCTTCCGGAAGACCCAGAAGACAGCCTAAATCCGCCCCTGGGTACATTTCAACAACTCGCCACATGCTATAACTATCTAGGCACTTTTTTGATAAAAGTCGGGGATCTGTTATCCCGTCCGTCCTTATGTCCGTGCGCCTGTGCGGTAGTGATCTCTTCCTACAACGCATAGTGTGCCTTTGGGTAGGGCTGTCCGTGTGGGCGAATGTATCTAATTTTCTACATGGTTACTTCAGGTACGTGTATCTTCATTCTAGATCATTACAGTGCAGAAGTTAAAACTTTCGAGATTGATAAGCCAGGTATGTGGAAGGGCCAGTCCCAATTTATATGCGCATGGGGGTTGGGCTGTCCCTTCGGGGGGGGGGGGGGTCGTTAAATACATTTAACACATTGTCGTCGATATTTTTATGCTGAAATTATGAAGATTATTTGTAACAATTTTACATGTTGGTCCGGACATTGTCATAGATATCAAAGGAATGGGGTCCCTGAGGATGAGCTACTCTTCACTCAATGTGGGGGTGTGCGAGAATACGCGACTGATTCCCATTGACACCGCCTAGTTTTATTTGCTTCCATTTTCAAACAATCACGGCCGCTGTGGTCAACCCAGCACTTTGACATGGTGATTTTAATCAATGTTGAATATTTCTTCGGAGATTCCATTTAATACTCTATAAATATTGAAAGATTCACGGGATACTCAAATGAGAAGTTGAACTTTATATGGGATCACTCCATTGATTTGAACCATATATATATATTCAATAAGCTTATCGAATTGACCATTTCTACTGCCCATTTATCCTCCAAGATCAATGATAACTTTATCAGGCCTTATCAAAAAACGACAGATACTCCCCTTGATAATAAAATAAATAAATTGAAGGGAATGTTTATAGCAAAACCAAATTCGAGATTATTTTCCCTAGTGTTTCAGACATGCCTGTTACCTGAAGTTCATATGCGGTAGACCTTCTATAACATTTTGGTTTTCTGGACAAATGTAAATGAATTTGAAATAACTCACTCTCTACTGTATTTAGGGTTTAAATTACTAGAAAAATATTCCACCCTACTGACTTTGGACTTTTCCGTGTAGATTACGTCACTAAGTCTTTATTTTGTCAAGTTACACTAAAATTATTTTAACGACAAAGTTTCCCACATTTTTAATTCAGGCGAATATTTATTCAGCATGAAATATATATCATAAATCGTCCTTTTTCCTTGAAATTTCACGATTTTGTCACAATTTCAACAGCTTTTCGGATACAATTTTGGAACCTTATTCGTCTCTGTGTTATGGTTGAAAAACACAAACCACATAAGTATTAGCTGATATTAACTTTATAAACTATATGCTGTGCTCCTACAAGTACATTGATGCAAATAGAAAAAAAGTCCCATTCACATCTAAAATGCCAAAATGTTAATTTTTATATGCCTTTGTTTAAACATGCAAATTACCTATGTAAAAAGTTTGGTTAAAAGTGTATAGGATTATACATGTATGAGACCCAACCGGTAAGAATATACAAGCAGGAATTTCAAAATATACCGATATAATTGGGATGAATTGGCATGCTGATTTTTTTAATTGCTTTAGACAGAAAAAAGTGCTTAAAAAGAACGCACTTCAAAATTCTCTTTATACGTTAGAATACAATTTGGTAATTTTTTATACAGGAATAGATGAAATTGCGTGTGGTCAGAGGGAAAAATCTTCTATCTTCTTTTAACGTAATTCTTTTATTTGAAAAACGTGTGTACTTAAGGTTTAGCAAAGTGTTTTAGAAAACAGTCGTTGCCAGCACGAGTCACGTGTAGACTAGAATCATAAATAAGAATTTAAAACGTACTAAAAACACAGCGATGGACCAAAGACGCTTGGCCTATGCCAATCAAATTCCTTATTTAGCAAAGTAATATATCATTGACTGAGCAAATGCGGCTTTCGATACGCCCAGAAGCACATATTCATTTGAACATGTGACCTTGCTATGTGTCCAATGAAAGTCACTCAGTTTAAGAAACTGGCATGCCAAACCTGTCCCGGTGCTTTCTTGAATCATATACGGTAGATTAGCTGCCACCGTTATTGGAGGCCAGCTAGGCAGAGAGAAAGGTAGTTAAGGGAGGTCTTTTCTAAACCATGCATTTAAACAAGTGGGATTGTCGGGTCTAAGAGTATTCAAGGCGACGGCTAAAAACAACTGAAAAAAGGTAAGGCGATACATGTTTCTTGGTTTAAAAAGGATATATAACGTGAAACATCGGTAGTAGAAGGCAGTTACATTTTTTGTTATTTGCCAATGTAAATCGGATGATATTGCCCAATTTAACTGATCATTGGAGACCGACAACCTTGCAGATGTGTCCATCCCTGTAGCAAAGGTTTGGTGGACACAGTTACATGGTGTTTCTATCTCTTGCTTTCTGACATTAACTATTTTCAAGATAAAAAAAAACTTTTTACACCGTAAGCTGGATTATTGATTAATAGCTAGTTAACTCATTCGCACGTAAGCGATTTATTTTTCTAAATGCATTAGGTTTACGTTGTACTCATATGATCACGCTTTCCACATTGGTTAACTTACAATTTGTGTTGAGATATACCACATTGTTATGGAGCATGTTCAAAATAAATTTAAGCTTTCAATCGTTTCTTTTATCCTTGTTCCTCCCCATCCCCGACACCCCCCCCCCCCCCCAGCAAAACCCTGGTCCCTATCACTGTAATGGTCTTAATTTGAGATATGCTTACACGGTGTGTTATATACATTTATATGGGTTTCTGAATCCATGTATGCTTATTGCAGTCATGAAATACCAACACTCGAATATAACCCGGCGTGCACAGTAGACAATACCATTGAAATTTCTAGATCAGAACCATTGATTCCCAGCACTCTCTTAATTCTGCATATACGCAACGACAGAGATATCTTCCGCCCTCACGAAATTAGGTAATTAATCAAAGTCTCTGGATGCATCAGGACTGTTCTATAGTTTATTTATCCACTAGGATTGCGCACCTGTGGTGCAAGTAACGTTTTTTATTCTTTTGTGCTGATGGCAGCCACAATAAAATCCATCATAAACAGTCATCAACAAATACCGATTATCCTGTACTTCCTGTCAAGACGAATTGCTTCCTCACCCCATTTTTTGCGTGGCGAGTGAAGGATTCCAAAAATATTGCTTTCATATTCAAACAAACACAACCAAAGAGAATGGTTCTTCATTGTAATATTTAATAAGACGTCCCTAAAGTTCACCCACATGAGTTTTTTTGTCAGTGAATTATCTCATCTTGTATCCCCAAGACAAAAGTTAATCGTGCGAAAAGATGTAATTATTACACGCTTTCTTAAACTTGCAGACTAACAAGTAATAGCGCTTCATATCGAATGCATAAAAAATGAGAATTTGCTCTTAAGCGACTGTACTATGTAATGGAATTTATTAACAATCAATCTTCATTCGACTCAAATTCTTTCCTTTTATCAATTAATCATAAATCTAAACGGTGTGTAATTTTGTTAATTTGCCTTACCTTAACTACATCATTTTGTCTTAATCAATTTTCACAACACAATCTATTTATGTAGCCATCTAGTCGAGATATTATAGTGTCCATTCAATTCCCCTTCACATGATAAGAAAAATTCCAGTCGCCTGGATAAAACGGTGGTGCTAATAAACAAGACGAGTATATACGAGAAGGGTATAACTGTCTGTGCCCTATCGACTTTGTTTAGCTAGTACAGGGGAGACATTGTTATGAATTGGACAAACCTCGGATACACTTAATGGACACCTGTTCTATTTCTGTGTGCCTGTAGAACATGTTGCGATAGAATCAGACGAGAATGCTGGAGGCGTCGCATCGGGAAAGGGGCGAAGAATAAGTCAAAGTCTTTCACAGTTCAGTCACACCAAAACTCATGTACGCTTGCTATGGTCGAAAGATATCGGTATTCCAAGTATTGCTAATAGCGTGAGCAGCTGCATTTCTTCAGATTCTTGGATATGTGACCTTCTTAACCTGTGTAAGCTGCAATGTCCATGGCTGCATGTATGATAAGATACAAGCATTTTGGAGTTGACTTGAGTTTGCTTGAAACCATTTCCGGATCTTGATATTTATTTATTTATTTATTCATTTATTTATCAATACCTCACGTTTGACCAAACTCTTAAAATTAAGAGCTGCATCCCCACCACCAACATCACCACCACCTTCTTCAGCTACGAACTGCGGGGTCGCAATCCATCATTCATTGATTGAAGTTAGTATAAATATAGCATGTCGGACTGTTCTTATTAAATGCAATTTGTTTGGTTTAGAAGTAGTAAGTATCTGTTCCCGTATTTATAATTACCGTTGATAATACTGTAAACATTTTTCTTGTTAGCACAGTTTCATACCGAAAGCATGCGTTTTGACAGACTATTCAGATAATTTTATTTGAAAGTGTTCGTTGATTAATCCCTTAATACAAATTTTGCGTGTTTGGTCACTTTTTTAAGTAGGCAAGGCAGCTTTTTACGATATGTTGTAGAGCCGTCTCGTCAAGTGTATTTGAAAAAAAAACCCAGAAGCACAGCTTCGATCATCCACGTTCTTTTAATTTTGAAAAAAATCTAATCCTCTTTCGTCTGTCGGGGGCACGTAGCCACATGTCTTCGCTGTTACTATTAAAACACAGTTCTTAGTTTGCCACAAAAGACTCATCTCTTGGAGTTTAGTCATAAGCCATCTCCGCCAAGTGATTTTCCTCTAGTTCTTCTACTACCCTATCTATTGTCGTTCTCAGAAACTCACCACCGAGTCTGGATATCGAAAACATGCGCGCGTAGAACATTTAATCTTCGCGGCATCCCAACTGAAGAAGTATTGAGTAGTTACATGCGAATGGTTTATTGCTATTAAAACGTATGGGGAGTACAAGAAAGTACGAAGCAAAGTCTCAGTGAAAGTACGAAAATAAATGCCACAGCACATTTCATACTGTCTATCTAAAGAAATACGCGGCAATTATTCTTCAAAATTAATACATCACCACAACCGTCATCATCATGACCATCGTCATCGTCATGGCGATATGTCCTTGATTTTTTAGAAGATGTCCTAAATGTTTTGCATAGACCAGTTGGGGCCAATTAACAGTCGATGAAACTAAGTTGTATTTTTTAAAAAGACGATAAATTCAAATTTCCTGAACTACTCTCATTTTGCTTTTTAAAAATCTTAAGAGAACGACACCCCTTTCCCATGCTTAAATGTATTCTATCCGGGATTCGATTGTACCTTCAAAAAATAATATTTTTCACTCTCGAAAATCTTTACTCATCCCTGCACTTGAAATCGTTGTCTTGTGCTATTATTAGTTAAACAATTTAGTTCTAAACAGTTCTTAATTCAGAGACCCACTACTTAATGATTTGCTACACAATAATCCAAAACGATCTAATGCTGTTATTAAGCCATTAGTCTTACTTCCTCCTTTACTTGAAAACTTAAGATGTTATCAGACAAGTGCACCTTTTAGTATCAATAAATGAATATTGATAGCATTAGGGCTACAATCGCTTCACGGTTTAAAAGCCTATTTTTGACATATCATGAGTTTTAACAGGATGCATATATATAGTCTATAGAAGCTGCATTCTTTTTGAATGTTACCGCAAATGCTTTGCCTAAAGTAAAAGTTATTTGATTTGCCTCATTCTGAAAAGAAAAGTGGAATGAGGAACTCGATGCCTTTGTGGAGATTTCATTTAGAGTTGGTATAGGAATTATGATTATGCTATCTCTGTAAATACTTTGCAGTTCTTTTACTTAGGAAAAAGAACTATGATTCAAGCATTTCATAGTCAATCCCTTTTGGGGTTTTAATAAGAATAGTCAATTGAGGTTATATGCTTTCAAAGTTTGTAAGTCATTTGGATTGTTATCTGTTTGAATTCCAGAAACTGCTGAATTTCTCTGTTCTCTCTCAGTGAGACGGTCGTTAGCTGGCTACGATCACTGACTATTATATTATTATTACTAACGTGAGGTTATTAGAAATGTGACTAACAGTCAGTCTCAGCTACTTGAATGAACATATTGGGTGCGCTATTCCGTAGGTCCGCTATTCCGAGGGATCGATAATTGCGACGATGACAGTTCAGATAACGATAAGACCCACTCGCCTCAAATAAAAAATTAGACCACCTGAAGCTGAACAGTCTGTCAGAGATAAAAGTTGGCAATAGCTTGCACTTGGCCCGATTGTTTGAATTCTCTGATCATGAGCCAGAATTGCGAGGCAGGCTATCTCGCAAGGAGTGTGCTCACGAGAATGCAAGAAGAACGCATGTCAACAGCAATGTTAACAATTGTTTACTGTGTCGTATGATCGATGCGATTTTGAAACTTATTCATTCGTTGGTAATGTTTTATTCGACAGAACTTTCAGGTCCACCCTCTCTGAGTGGTCTCAACATTGCAACAAAGTGAAACTTCGTCTGATTACGTTTATGAAGGGATCTACACTTAAGTCAGTTTTCGTTCACTTGGCTACATTTTTTCCTGCAAAAGGCGAAACATCACCGATTTTCAAAGGTCGCCCTTAATATAACCTTTCCTGAATAAAACAAGCTACATATTTTTTTAATAAAATAGTTATTAAACATTATTATATCTTAATATCTTAATTAATTATGAAGTTAAGTGTCATTACCTTGCTTTCAAATTGCACCCGTACTCCTAGCAAATACAGAGAGAGAGAGAGAGAGAGAGAGAGAGAGAGAGAGATTATACTTTCGGCGAATATCACAATAACATAAGATCTTAGACAAAGCAAAGGCAGAATATGAATGGCATATGCATAAACATTAGGATTGTCTTGACGACAAATTAAAACGAAAGTGAAATGCACACAAATATAGCGATTGTTCTTGTCCAAGGAATACAGCTAATACATTTATCTACATTAAGCTGTACAAAAATGTATACACTCATTCCAGTTCCAGAATCTTTAAATGGTGTGGAACTAATTGTAGGCATTTGCAAACATGCCCCAGTATAGGTAGTTGTCATGACCCGCACGCATAGGGGTATACATGTACATGTGGTAAATTCTTAGTAGAATCAGACCTTGAATTTTGCATTGCCTTTTGAGTTCACTCAAAGGTGAAGATGGGAATGATACGCCATTACTACTGTGCAAAGATAGTAATAGACCATTCACATGTGTTCAATATATAACGGAACCGTGCTCACTGAAATATGTGCTCAATAACTGAACGGCCGCCAGAAACTACAAAAAGTACTTTTTTGTGGTTAATTGACCATGAAAAACAGCACTTCTATCATGTCCAAGCTTCTCCTTTATTTCTCACTGCATCTCAACATGACCGTGTCTGATGGATCACGTAAGACACCCATTAAACTATGGTGACAAAGTTATATTAGATACTATACGTAACTATACAATGTCTGATACCTGCAAATTTGCCCATCGTGTGTGATTTTGTATTTTCTGCCACCATCGCGCAAGGAAAATATATAAATCTAAGCAAAGGTAAGGTCTGTCTTTTGCCACGGTATACATTTTTTTAAAATGCGAATTTCAAATCACCATTTTACCTCCTGGATTTAGAAAGTGCTGTTACATGCAGAGAATTTGAAGCACGTGCTTTGGGTATTGTCTAACAGAGAATGTTTATCCTTTGTTCATATTGGTGCTTTCTAGGCTGTCACACAGATTGTTTACCAAACACACAATAAGTGCGACGAGAAGGTGACTGTATCAGGACAGTGACATCAATTTACTGTAAGATGACGTGGTTACAGCAAGTGCTTATGATTATGGCTCTCTGGTTTGTGGGGTGCACTTTTGCAGCCACGCAGAAGAACAATCAGACAATGTAAGTATTCAATATTTCTTCACAAATGTGAAGATTGCGTTTGGGCTAGCGTTTTTCCCTTCTCCGTTTTTTAAACTGTTGTTCGCCATTCAGGGTTTTCAGGCCGGGAGTGCCTTGTCAATTTAACAGTTAATAGATAATAATGAGTGACAACAAAAAATAATAATAACAATTTGTGTAGAATGACGTTTATATATAACTGTGTAAATTTTGATGCTACAACGGCAAAACATTCTGCTTTAACAGTATAAGGTCGCCTAGAAAACGTTTCTCATGAACCATATGCTGCATCATTAAAAATTCTAAGAATGCACGTCCAGTGCAATTTAGAACGCAGTAATAAAAACATGATATTAATAAGGCACGTGGGTCCAATACGTCGTGAGTGATGTATTAGGGTGCATTCCCAGAGATTTAGATCGATTTAGAGATTAAGATTTAGGTCGACCTAACTCCCTGGGGGTTTACGCTAAATTGCAGTCAGCCGAGCGCGCACCATAGTTAATTACCCCCTTACAACTTTTAGTAGGCGGGACAGACGCTTAAGCCGGCTAAGCTGACAGTAATATAGTGAGACTCCCCACAGGGATAGATCGATCTAAAATCTATGGAAATGGGGTCTTAGAATAGAATACTGTTGATTATCAATCGCAACTAAGATGGGGGAAATTTATGTGGTAAATTTATTTTCAGTTGACTTTTACCTTCATATACCATTATTGACAAATAACTAATAGCAAGTGTAAAGCGACAATGATTTAAGGATGCAAGGAATAAAATAAGAAAGTATTTCTGATGTCTTTTTTCAATACAATGAATTGCAAATACCTTCGTACAGCACATCCATGCATAAAACTATTTAATTCACATTGATATCCATTTCACATGACATAATGGGAGTCATGGGTCCCGCGAGCGGCAAAAACTATTTGACACATTGCCATCTAATCTGTTCTGTTTAGTTAAAACCATTAACAAAAATAAAAAGCAATTGCGAAGAGTAGACTTTTGGACAGTTTAAACAATTGACTTGCCCCCTTAGGGATTGAAAACTTAGTTGAATGCGGATGAGGCTTTCATTTATCTTACGATTTCAGAGGCCAACCTGTTGCGTGACAAAAATCTACTATGGCCCTGTTCCATCGTACCGATGGTTCGGTATATATGATGCCAGAATCCCGGATTTGTCTCTTTTTACCTTCTCAACAAAAGCAAAACTCACATGAGTCCCCCAAGGGGTTCAAGTCAGTTACTTGAATGCCAATTCTCCCCAAGATGCACTCCGAACCGTCGGTGATCGATTGCGCATTCTCTGCCCTTCCTGAACAAACAGCCTTGGTATTCTCGATTCCGAGAATTCTCGATTCGGTGCCCAAAACTGTAATACCTCTTCTTGTAAATATTTAATCAATTTAATCTGAGAGGTGCGATTTGAGCATTGCTCTCCTAGTATTTAATCAATCAAACTACCAGAATGCGATCAGCGTATGATCTCTCATCAGCGATATGAATATCGATTGTGCCCCTCGGAGAAGTGAGCAGTTGTGATTAGTCTGGTTATTTATCATTAGGCCTGGCAATTAATTGGTTTGAATCCAACCACCTGTTCATCTTTACTTATAGCTCAGAATTCCTGGACAAATTGATGCAAGGTTACGACAGGCTAAGGCCGCCATTAAAAAGTAAGTAGCCAACGCATTTTTTTTTAGCGTGCGCCTGTCTTTATCACTTTATTCAGACACCAATTCACCAGGGTTTTAACTGATTCCAGCGATTTATTCACTTTTCAAGGGTATGGTAATGGTTAACATTAGGACACCTAAAGAGATTTCATTTCCTGGAATCCATAAATGTGGTTATGTATTATATATTTATCAGGTGATGGGACGATTGTATGTTTTTCTAAAAATAATCGATGTAGATATAATAAAACCATAGAAAATATATTCACAAATAAGCGAGACGTGAAAGTACAATAATTTTATTCCAGATGCGTCTACAAGAGTTGAACTTGGCGTTTACGTCAACAGCTTTTATTCCATTAGTGAACAGACAATGGTAAAGATACTTAGCTTCTGATAATGTTTCTAATAATATATTTGTTTTATTTTGGTGGTGTATTGAAGTAAATTGTAACCTGTAGACCAAACGGTGGGACATGGATTAAATGTTTATGTAGCCTACATGGGTATACATGTATATATGGAGAGAGCGAGATACGAAAATTTCTCTATACGTATACATATATACATGTATGGGCCTTTCTCTCATATCAGTGATTTTTTTACTTAAGGATTATTCTGTCAACATTTATCTACGCCAAAACTGGACAGATCCAAGACTGGCATTCGAGCCCGATCCGGAGGCCGAGATAGGAGACATGATCAAATTAGATGAACATTTTTACCGCAAGATCTGGCTTCCCGACATTTTCATTCGCAACGAGAAAAGGGCCAACTTTCACGAAGTTACGATCCCGAACAGGTTAATGAGGTTATACTCCAACGGCGCCGTGTGGTATGTGACGAAGTGAGTAATATTTTTTCTCATTATGACTTGTCATGTTTTATCATTGTGAAACTACATGTACCTAAAAGACAAGATCTCGGCTCTCTGTGATAATGCGAGCCTGGGACATATCGACCGTGAATAAGTTCAATTTTTTATAATAAAAGCAAATCGATTAGATTACTGATGCAAGAGCAACTCCCCTAGAAAAGACGTCGCTTTTTTTTACTCATTTTCTGTCAACTTTCATTTAAAGAACAAATGTATGCCATTCGCGTTACGGAAAATTTGTGAATTATCTTCTCTTTTTCCAGAATAACTGCAACACTAGACTGCTACATGGATCTTACCAACTATCCACTTGACGTTCAGAAATGTCCATTATCTCTAGAAAGTTGTGAGTACGGCCGAAATTATCTGATTGATTTTCATTCGGAAAGGTGATCATATTCCCACACTTTCTCGTAAACCTGTAAAGGGGTGGGGTTAAAATTAGTAATACTGGTGCCCGTTATTGATATGTGATAGTGGATTTAACATCCGGTGGTAGATAATGACGATGGTGGCATGAGCGTGTCATGTAAATTATAGTAATTGTAGTAATTGATTTTAGAGAATATCCGCGTCTGTACATGTTGTCATCAGCTGTTGATACCGCCACGTGCTCTAATGGCTCTTCGGCTATGGCGTTTTACTATGTAAAACTTGTCAAGCAAAAACCTCCACAGAATTTGCCATTATAACTTCTCAAAAGTTACAGCAATGGTTTCAATTAAATTTCGACAGTTTTGTCCATAGTTTTGTTTCTTGTGCATTCTCGTTCTGAATCAGGACAACGCTAAGAAAATTTAAATGTTGTAACAGACGGATTGTAAGTAATGGTTCATAATTAAGGTAGGCAAATCCGTGCGTTTTTAGGAGTAGACAGTATGAAAAGAACCTTAAATGTGTTGATGACATAATGTAGCTTTGCTTGCCATCAATAAGAGAATCATATGGATTGGTTGAATGAAGTTTTTAAAATCTATGACGAGACACGTTATTTTGGTTATGTGTTTTCCTCGAAGAGACCTTAGCCGGTTGTACGTCGTTAAATATAATAATGTAAACCCAGAGCAGAGATTTGAAATATTTTAGGCACGCAAAACAGGACTGAATGACATACCTATTCAATTGTATGTATTGGCCCCCTACATACGGGCACCCTGCTTTTGATACTTTTTCTATAGATTAAAACAAATTAATCCTAGTGGTATTGCGTTAATGAGTGGTACATTCATCGTCTAAATGGATGTTGTGATTGTCGGAGACCAATATCTGAGAGACTTTATTCTGCCATTGTTTTTTTGTGTCTGCCATTGTTTTAAATGGATTATTGTTTTCTCTATCATAATATGAGTGAAATGTTAAATATAATATTAACAAAAAACTCGTCATTCGAGAGCCAATGTGATGGTGGACATGACATGGATTATGATGGGAACTTAGAGTTAATGCTTGGTTGATCTTTCCATCCAATATATGCATTCTTAAATTCACGATGCGGTTTGTGCTGGTCTCTCTTGGCTATTTGTAATTGTGTTTTATGATCTTATATTAAATCAGTGGCGTTTTTTATTTCTAGTTGGCAATACCATGGATGTTCTCACTTTCAAATGGATGGATAATGCAGTGGAGAAAGACGAAAATCTAAGATTACCGGAATATACCCTTACAAGTTTCGATTTCCAGGATTGTTCACGAGTTTATGCAGCTGGTAAGAAATCCAGTACTGATTGATTTATATGATGACATAATGGGTAGCCTTTAGGGGTTAGAACAACACTATAAATCAGCTTTTATAGACATTAAGATAGTCGCTAGAGCTGCTGACATTTTCTCCGTTGGTGAGAGCGGTAATTGATAGCTGCTTATTTATTGCATAACGCAATTTGGCCGTTGCACTGGTTCTCGGTTTTGTTTTAAATATATTTTTAGAGACATGCCTTCTTTTGTTTGCAACTTCTAAAACGTCAATAAATGCTTGACGATTGTGACATATGTTAGATATATGCATTGTATGCATGATTTTAGTTTATTCCATTTCAGTCAAAATGTTTTACACGTCAATGGTTATAGAATGGCCAACCATTTCTAAGTGAAGACTTTTTCGCGTTTTAAAGCCAATTCCTTTGTGCTTCACTATTTCTCTCATTTAAGGCGCTTTCCCATGTCTCAACGTGGACTTCTTCTTGGACAGAAACCGCGAGTACTTCGTGATGCAGGTTTACCTGCCCAGCGTCCTCATTGTCATCATGTCCTGGGTGGGGTTCTGGATCAGCATCGACGCGAGCCCGGCCAGGGTGTCCATTGGACTCTTAACAGTGCTGACAATTACGACGCAGGCTACGGCGTCCAGGGCCTCACAGCCGAAGGTGTCTTACATCAAGGCAATTGACGTCTGGTTGGCCATGTGTTTGGTGTTTGTATTCGCCTCGCTTCTGGAGTACTCCCTCGTGAACACATTCAGTAGGCGACAGGTCCCAAAACCTGTTCGAAACCGTGCCCAAGGGATATTCTGCAACTCTAACAGTGAAAAGGTGCTTAGATAGTCACCTGGTTTATTTATGGATGTATATTATTATGTATTAGTTACCATCTGGTTTTGTTTCTGAAATTCGTTGACAAATAGGCGAAAGTATTACCATAAATCGTCTAGCGAGTTGCGTGATATGTTTATTACTTACTGACATTAAAATTCCCAAATAGACTATTATATCTACTTTTGCATGTTCAGTGCTGAAATGGCACCGGTGTATAAGATGACTATTGAAATGCACTCTGGAGATAAATAGAAATAAGTACCGTCATTTAGAAAATTAATTACAATTTTTAATTTATTGATCAATGGCAATAATTGGCGTAATGAATTCAATTTGACATTTCTACTAGTGATATAAGTCAATAAGTACAAACATTCCGTCTTTTTTTCAGAAGAAAATGTGTGATGATCTACAGCCACACGTTGAGGCTGCTCCGGAGAAGGAAGAGGTACCCGATCCGCAAGGCAGAGAAAAGGCAAAGCGTGTGGACACTGTGTCTCGGATTCTATTTCCCTTCAGTTTTATACTCTTCTGTTTTGTCTATGGACTTTACTACGTAGTTTTCGCACGTTCGAGCTTTTCAGTTTAGTTTTACGAAATAACATTTATACTCTGACACATACACAGAAAACTAGACGTAAATAGCTGCTATATTCAAAGATAAATCCACTTTTGACTTTGGTTTACAAAAGAAAGCTAAAAAATGCGCCTGGAATCGTACCATAAGAGCACAGTGAGTTTTTTTTCGCAAAATGTGACTCTTACGTTGTGACATCTGCGTTCTGTTGGTGATAGTGAATACATTTGACCCAAGAGAGGTAATTTTCCTTTTTTTTTGCGGGGGGGAGGGGGTGCTATTTCTGATAGCAGACGCTCAATCGCGACTGTGTTTCTCAGATGATTCAAGACAAAATCAGATACCGTTTCCTGTGGTCCGCTTAGACTTTTTCTTCGAAAGAGAAGGAACAATCTTTGAATACGTTTCTTCTCCTTGCAATACATTTGGACGCCAACAAACCTTTTTAATCAACGTGCTTTGGGCGTGTTTGTACACGGTAATTTAGCATATGTGATTAGTGTGATAATTTCGCCCTTTTTCGCCATAGGTCTTTTTAATGTTTTTATTAATGTCCTTCTTGGAAAATTGATCGAACAATTCACAGTCGTCGTGTCATTTTATCGATTCATAGACATTTTCATCTCTTGCTATATACACTAGTATCCTGTAATTGTGAATTAACTTTTCTTTAAGGTACCCTAGCTTTACATTTCTATGTACATGTAGCCCCAAATGTATAAATTATATTATATTATTATAAAAAGTTTGTCATTTTAGGAACAAACTAATTTCATAGAAAACGTAATTCACGCAAATGTCTTTTAAAGGAATTGCCATTTGCATGCTTTATATTTCCATATGTATTTGATGCTATAATAAGGTAATCAAAAAATTGAGAAGNCTTGGATCGAAAACAACCTCTTGCTAAAGGTATGGAAATTGCCTTGGCGTCTGGGTCCGACCGCTGCCAATCTTCCGCGAACAAAATCCCTTGAACCAATATGAAAATTGCCGTCTCGTCTTGCTTGGATTGCAAACGATCTCCCTCTGAAGATTTGTAAATTGGTTTCGCATCTTGCTCCGATGGCGAATCACCTACCGCCGACGATCTCCCGCAAACGAAATCCGTACTTGAACGAATATGAAAATTACCTTCTCCTCTGTCAGCGCTGTCATGTGCTGCTTGAAGGTCTGATATGTTTCAGCTTTCATAATTTAACGGCAAGCTTGCTAAAAAATCTAATAAAAGTTGGAAATGCCTAGCATTGGTCAGTAGCCTTATTTTTCAAACATTAAGGGGTTGCTTCTGACATATCAGAGATGTCTGGCTGGTTAAGGGAAGAAGAAATTTGACGAACATGACGAACATATTTCCTTTCCTCTTTGTAACATCTAGTTAACCAATCTGTTTTATAATGTTGCCTGCATTGACCACAGGCGTATTATTTTACTGACATACAATGTTTATGCAGATTTCATTCGTTTAAAATCTTTTTCAACTGAAAAACATAATTTACCATCTTTTTACCTGCCTTTTCCGTGCCATTTTGGTGGCTATTTTGCTATTTCTATTAAAATGACTTGCAGATTATGTGAAAGAAAACCCTAATAAACACCACCTCTGTATTTGTATAAACATGCAAATAGACTTTAAAATGAAGAATCTTCACGCACTGTATATAGTTTGATGTAAATTGCTATGAATACTTATGTAATTTTGCGTAAAAATTGGCAGCCATTTTGGGTTACGAAAAGTGCCAATGTCCCAGAAGTTAGTAAAGCCAAGCTAAGTTGACTTTTCTGACCAAAAAAGAGGCATTTCTTTTTCAAACAATTACAGAAAACAACATAGTATTGTTCAACTATGGGACCAATTAGATTGGTAACCTGCTACTTGGAGGGCTTACGCCCTCACCACACATAAGTTGAATAATTAAATATAATGGTTGTGTAGGAAAAAAGCTAACGAAAAATCACGATGAACGGAAAAATCAAAGAAGAAGATGCCGTTAATTAGACTGATGATACTAGAAATATGCTGATTTTGCTGATTTACTTTACCCTTTGCCTCTACCCTATGTTTTGGCGGCCATTTTGTTTTTCTATCAGTAACAACGACGTGCTAGGATGTAGTCTTGTGCCCTACTGTGTTCTTCCGACATGAAACACATTCACAACAGCCACAAATAAAGTATATCCGTCGACTTCTGGTTGTTTTTCTGTTTTTCCTCAAAAATTGACGGCCATATTGAAAATGCTCAATGTCTCGGAAGTAGCAATCAAGCTAATTATACCTTTCTAACCCAAAAGGATGCACTTCTGTAATAAAAATTACGGAAAAGAAACATTACAGAGTTCGACTATTGTTCCTGTAGTAGAAAGTGGATATTTGTCATCCTAAATTGTGCAGTATCACCCAGTGACGTCATCGTGACGTCATCATTGCTCTCATAGATGTGCACAGTGAGCGTACGTTTTTAAAATCTATTTATGGTATCATAATTAGTATTGTTAGTGCTCGTTTTGATGAAATCTGAATGTACATAAAATGCTGAGTCAGCATATTTACGAAAGCGCCTCATCCGGGTACTTGTGAATTTTGGAGTTGCCCCCCGATCCAAAATTGACAAACACCTAAGGGTCATTCATTGTGGAAAGTTTCATGCTTTTATCAACTTTTGCACAATTCTGGATATAATTTGGACTTAACCGCCTGACTAGTGCGTTTTTAGGAGTAGACAGTATGAAAAGAACCTTAAATGTGTAGCTTTGCTTGCCATCAATAAGAGAATCATATGGATTGGTTGAATGAAGTTTTTAAAATCTATGACGAGACATGTGTTTTCCTCGAAGAGACCTTAGCCGGTTGTATGTCGTTAAATATAATAATGTAAACCCAGAGCAGAGATTTGAAATATTTTAGGCACGCAAAACAGGACTGAATGACATACATGTACCTATTCAATTTTATGTATAGGCCCCTTACATACGGGCACCCTGCTTACGATACTTTTTCTATAGATCAAAACAAATTAATCCTAGTGGTATTGCGTTAATGAGTGGTACATTCATCGTCTAAATGGATGTTGTGATTGTCGGAGACCAATATCTGAGAGACTGTATTCTGCCATTGTTGTTTGTGTCTGCCATTGTTTTAAATTGATTATTGTTTTCCCTATTATTATATGAGTGAAATGTTAAATATAATATTAACAAAAAACTCGTCATTCGAGAGCCAACGTGATGGTGGACATGACATGGATTATGATGGGAAATTAGAGTTGATGTTTGGTTGATCTTTCCATCCAATATATGCATTTTCAATTCACGATGCGGGTGGTTTGTGCTGGTCTCTCTTGGCTATTTGTAATTGTGTTTTATGATCTTATATTGAATCAGTGGCGTTTTTTATTTCTAGTTGGCAATACCATGGATGTTCTCACTTTCAAATGGATGGATAATGCAGTGGAGAAAGACGAAAATCTAAGATTACCGGAATACACCCTTACAAGTTTCGATTTCCAGGATTGTTCACGAGTTTATGCAGCTGGTAAGAAATCCAGTAGTGATTGATTTATATGATGACATAATGGGTAGCCTTTAGGGGCTAGAACAACACTATAAATCAGCTTTTATAGACATTAAGATGGTCGCTAGAGCTGCTGACATTTTCTCCGTTGGTGAGAGCGGTAATTGATAGCTGCTTATTTATTGCATAACGCAATTTGGCCGTTGCACTGGTTCTCGGTTTTGTTTTGAATATTTTTTTAGAGACATGCCTTCTTTTGTTTGCAACTTCTAAAACGTCAATAAATGCTTGACGATTGTGACATATGTTAGATATGCATTGTATGCATGATTTTTGTTTATTCCATTTCAGTCAAAATGTTTTACACGTCAATGGTTATAGAATGGCCAACCATTTCTAAGTGAAGACTTTTTCGCGTTTTAAAGCCAATTCCTTTGTGCTTCACTATTCCTCTCATTTAAGGCGCTTTCCCATGTCTCAACGTAGACTTCTTCTTGGACAGAAACCGCGAGTACTTCGTGATGCAGGTTTACCTGCCCAGCGTCCTCATTGTCATCATGTCCTGGGTGGGGTTCTGGATCAGCATCGACGCGAGCCCGGCCAGGGTGTCCATTGGACTCTTAACAGTGCTGACAATTACGACGCAGGCTACGGCGTCCAGGGCCTCACAGCCGAAGGTGTCTTACATCAAGGCAATTGACGTCTGGTTGGCCATGTGTTTGGTGTTTGTATTCGCCTCGCTTCTGGAGTACTCCCTCGTGAACACATTCAGTAGGCGACAGGTCCCAAAACCTGTTCGAAACCGTGCCCAAGGGATATTCTGCAACTCTAACAGTGAAAAGGTGCTTAGATAGTCACCTGGTTTATTTATGGATGTATATTATTATGTATTAGTTACCACCTGGTTTTGTTTCTGAAATTCGTTGACAAATAGGCCATAAATCGTCTAGCGAGTTGCGTGATATGTTTATTACTTACTGACATTAAAATTCCCAAATAGACTATTATATCTACTTTTGCATGTTCAGTGCTGAAATGGCACCGGTGTATAAGATGACTATTGAAATGCACTCTGGAGATAAATAGAAATAAGTACTCGAAAAATATTACCGTCATTTAGAAAATTAATTTCAATTTTTAATTTATTGATCAATGACAATAATTGGCGTAATGAATTCAATTTGACATTTCTACTAGTGATATAAATCAATAAGTACAAACATTCCGTCTTTTTTTCAGAAGAAAATGTGTGATGATCTACAGCCACACGTTGAGGCTGCTCCGGAGAAGGAAGAGGTACCCGATCCGCAAGGCAGAGAAAAGGCAAAGCGTGTGGACACTGTGTCTCGGGTTCTATTTCCCTTCAGTTTTATACTCTTCTGTTTTGTCTATGGACTTTACTATGTAGTTTTCGCACGTTCGAGCTTTTCAGTTTAGTTTTACGAAATAACATTTATACACTGACTCATACACAGAAAACCAGACGTAAATAGCTGCTATATTCAAAGATAAATCCACCTTGGTTTACAAAAGAAAGCTAAAACATGCGCCTGGAATCGTACCATAAGAGCACAGTGAGTTTTTTTCGCAAAATGTGACTCTTACGTTGTGACATCTGCGTTCTGTTGGTGATAGTGAATACATTTGACCCAAGAGAGGTAATTTTCCTTTTTTTTTGCGGGGGGGAGGGGGTGCTATTTCTGATAGCAGACGCTCAATCGCGACTGTGTTTCTCAGATGATTCAAGACAAAATCAGATACCGTTTCCTGTGGTCTGCTTAGACTTTTTCTTCGAAAGAGAAGGAACAATCATTGAATAAGATCCTTCTCCTTGCAATACATTTGGACGCCAACAAACCTTTTTAATCAACGTGCTTTGGGCGTGTTTGTACACGGTAATTTAGCATATGTGATTAGTGTGATAATTTCGCCCTTTTTCGCCATAGGTCTTTTTAATGTTTTTATTAATGTCCTTCTTGGAAAATTGATCGAACAATTCACAGTCGTCGTGTCATTTTATCGATTCATAGACATTTTCATCTCTTGCTATATACACTAGTATCCTGTAATTGTGAATTAACTTTTCTTTAAGGTACCCTAGCTTTACATTTCTATGTACATGTAGCCCCAAATGTATAAATTATATTATATTATTATAAAAAGTTTGTCATTTTAGGAACAAACTAATTTCATAGAAAACGTAATTCACGCAAATGTCCTTTAAAGGAATTGCCATTTGCATGCTTTATATTTCCATATGTATTTGATGCTATAATAAGGTAATCAAAAAATTGAGAAAGTAACATGTCTCATTGCATTATATTCCTTTTCTCTTATATCAAATCAAGTGTGTTTTTTGTCATTGTGATTAAAGAAACGGGTACTTCAACTACTATTATAATGACCTTTTCCCTCAGCAACATAATTATGTTCTGTCAGAAATAAGTACGTACGAAGATGGTACACGCAATTTGTGATATAATTGTGAGCTCTGTGCTGCAGAACGAACTATTAGAAATTATTGTATCACGTGTGACCATATGCATCATTTTTGTTATAAAAATAAAAATACATCGTTCAGTATATCAATAATAACGATAACATTATTTCAGTGAAATCTGCAAGCTTATCCTATACAATAATATATACCCATGCATGGGTAGAGCACTTTTCCATAGTGTATCAACTTTATTCTCCGTGATATATATATATATATTTATCACGTTTACGGATTGCCAAGTTATTCAGATATGTGTTTCCATATACATGTACATACCGTTATGCAACATAGAAGAATTGCATTTAGATATTTTCATGTTTGTGTAAACATCAGTAATACTGCGTCTTTGATGAGTCAGTAATTGTTCGTGTATCGGTAGGTTTACTTCTTTGTTTGACTTTGATATGTATGTAAACGGATCACGTTTATAGATATGTAATCCATTGTCATATAATGAAATGTTATCATAAAACATAGTTATAAGAGTTGTTATATTCATTTCATGTCGTTATATCTGATATTAAAATACAACTGCACAGTTCATCCTCATTAATGTTACATGTTTGTTACGAAATTCAATCAAACCATATAAACAGGTGATACTTTTATAGCATCTTTTTATCTAGGGGTTAATTGATTCATCCTTCGGGATTTTCGATATTTTCATATTATCAATGATGTTATTAATGAAATATCTTTGGCTAATATCATGTGACACACATTCAAAATAAATGGCCGTTAATATGAGGGACAAAACCTGACAATCGTCTATTTAATTTAACGTTTATCTCTCATGCATAAATAAGTATTATGGAAAATGAATTCGCTTTGGAAATCTTGACGTCTTATATAACTGTATCAGAACTGATGTAATATTTATTTTGATCAGATATCAAATCCAAAACTGTAAATAAAGCCACAATAAGGTATTTACTAGCACCACATAAAATGGGGTGTTAAAAAATGTTTTGTCCAGATAATCATTATTTGTTTCAATATACATGTGGATATAGATTTTAATGCTTTACAAACTGTAAAGGTTAGGTTCATTCCCATGGATTTAAAATTTATTTAAAATGCTTTTGTACAATTCATCTTCCCCTGGAATGTCTTTTTCAATACCCTTTCCAGGTACTTAAGTCCAAAAATTTACCCTTGAGGAAGGAGAATCACTTAAAATATCTCCTTTATTCAATCTTCCTCTCAAGGCGAATACTTGGTCGATTTCGACTTCATCCATTACTCCTGCGTGTGTTGTGGATGAAGTGAAAGCTGTCAACCTCACTTCATTCTAATTGCAGGGTCTTACTAGTAATCTATTGTATTTGAAGAGTGAGTTCAGCACAATCCACTTCTAATCATTTCAAGGAGACATCTCAATCTATATCGAGCTTTTACGGAACTGACAATTCCTGTAAGACTGTTTATCGATACTCTCCTGTTTGAACGAATTAATCCTCCTGCTTGAATCACTAACACATTCACTTCTCACAGTTGTATCAGTTGTGACTCGATCAGCGGAATAAATGGTCGTTGTTGGTAAAGAGGCGATACTCCGACGGTCCGATACCAATTAAATGAAGCATATTGGTCTGAAACGTTTGGCATGTCTTTCGTGGTATAAAATCAGGAGTAATACTTGATGTATATTGGGCTGCTAATGATTTATCTTGGGTCAAATTAAAGATTAATGGGTCACATTAGAGAATAATAAATAACCCTGGTCCCAAGCATGGTAACATAAAACTTAAAAGCCTTTTGGAAGCTTAGGGGAGTTTGCTGGAGGAAATACCGTGTATCAGTTTTTAATCAGAATCCTATGGAATTGTATTGGCATCCCAAGAGTTATCAATATGTTATCCGTGACGTTGCATTTATTTGATCACATCACTAACGTGTCTTGTTTAATCTATAAAATGACTGCCGCCAAGAGAAAGTACAGCAAAAATAACACGGTAGTAATGTATTGCTATCTGTAAGTAAACCATTGCCAGGTGATACTTGGGATCGAATCATCCTGGCAAATAAATTTATTCATGTGGAACATATGGACCATTTCATTCAATGCAATCTGTGAACTACGAGTTAAATTGTTCAAACATGGAAATAATTTTAAATCATTTGATAAACATGATCAATATGTATATATCGAATATGCCGAAATAAAGTCAATCGTTGTTCTCCGTTCGTTTTCATCATGTTACCTTTTGTTGCGAATTACACTCTTATCAGTAATTTATGGCAGGGGAACTCTACACAGTAATTCTCTTTATCATTGTTATCCAAATAACATAACAAAAAATGGCATACATTTTTGTCCAATTATAATTATTCAAATGTACCATAATATGATAGTATAAAAAGAGGTAATACGATAACTAGGTGGCCTGCACCTCATTCTCTTAACAATAACATACCGCCAAACAAGTAGGTACTGAAATGGAGACAATATAATAATGATTCTGAAGATGGCACCGGTGTGTACGTGAAAGAAGAATGTTTCCCACCTACTGGCTCAAACTAGTAGCATTTTAATTTGATACAACGGCATAAAATATGTCTCACGTGTGAACACTTGTACGCAAACCATATCCATGTTTCGATGAGTCCTTTAAACTAATGAGTGAGATCTCTTGTTACAAAGGTAGAAAGGTATTAGCGAACGGACGTACAAAAACACACGAGTTATGGTTCTTTGGTTTCTTCAGTTGGCACAATTTCAGGAGCCTTGGTCTCGTCAGGGGTTTCGGTTGGTGCGACTTCTGGGGTTTCTCCGGATCCGTCGTCTGGGTCCTCGGCTGGATCAGGACACCTAACTACCTTCAGGTCGGGGGTTTTACATTTGGCTTGAAGGAACTCACAGCTACAATATAATTTCGTATAGTATGAAATCTTATATATTCTATATAAAAATATAATGCAGATATATGTGTGTGTATTGTATATACTGCATCAATTGTGTGTATGCGTAACACTTCCAAGTAATAACCTTGTATTGCAGTTTGTCTTGATTTAAACTAAAAAGAATAAATCTGTCATTTAAAAGGGATTTTTGCACGCTACGTATGGCTTACCAAGTCAAATATTCACTCAATACTTTGAAATGTAATTTTTCCCTGATATATAGTATAAATATTTTAAGTGGGATGATTTGCCCTTTACTTACGGACCAATAGCTACATGGCTTACTAAGTAAAATATTCACTTACATACCAAAACAGTGTAATTAATATGATATATTTCACATACAAGTAATTATTGTGATGTGTATTGTATACTTACATGTTGGAGTACACGTCACCGTTGACGTCACATATTTCTCTTGCAGGAAGTGCAGAATCGGAACAGTTGGCATTCTGGATCATCACACATAGTTCAGCCATTTTGGGAAACAATTTTGGGAAGGGACGACCACTAGGTTTGCTTCTGCCAAATCCTCGCTCCTGGCCAGAGCCTGGTGATTTGGAACCACGTGACCCCTTTCCTCGACCTCGTCCGCGGCCTCCGCCAAATCCTCGTTCCTGTCCAAAACCTCGTGATTCCGTCCAACTTTTTCTGCCAGCTTTCTTTGGTGGTCCTCGTCGTGCGGTGACAAGAATTATTACTAAAATAAAAAAAACTTTTCTAAAGTACCATGTCAAATAAAAGTGCTGAAACCGAGCGAAAACATTTATAAAAATTAGTAAATTAATAAATAAACGAATACATATAACGTTTTTGTCATAGAAACGTTTAATAACATACACAAAAAACTAATCAATTTAAACATTGCTGTACTGGTAGTCTGAAAGCTGAAACGTACCACTTAAAATGACAACAGTGACCAACAGAACCTTCATGTTTGCTGTTTGGTGCTCGTAGAAATAGATGGACCTCAACGCCGGCTTTCTTTTTGATTAACGTAAAAATCAGTGTTCGGTCAACGTATATATAGGGCAAGGAATATGAAGAAACCGAGTCATTCCCGGATATTCAGTCACGAAGGTAAGATGCTATCTCCTAGTGGATTGGATCATGAAGGAGTCATGTGCCTAAAACGAGTCGCAGTGACGTCATAGACGGAGAGACCGGGTCGTTTACTCGGTGGTAAGTATGGTCAGATCTTTACAGAGCATCCCAAAAATATTTTTCCGTGGGTCAGTGCCGCATTGATAAAGCATTGTTTTTGATGTTCCTAAGTTAACTGTAGTTCTACTATCATGTACATATGCATGTATCTTTGAATGTTTCGGTTTATTAATTCATTTTACAATAATAGAAAATCGACATCTAGTACCTGACAGTATTATTTGAATAATTTATTAAATATCCACCGTTGAGACACCTGAGTTCTCAGGTTAACAATATTTCGCTACCCACTGTGTTAAACCATCCTTGGCAAAGATCTATCGTAATATCGCAAGCGGCACTGCATACAACCAATGACATCATGCACGTTAGTCCTGTAACTGGGCTATGGCGGTCAGGGGGCTTTTACATAATGTCTATAGTTTTTTAGTCTAACTGTGACTTCCAATATCGGACAGCTGATTTTACGAACGAATGCCCCTCAGTAATTGCTACCGATGCTATTATGGGCTATAATTGGTTTTCAATAAAAACAAAAGTGGTAAAGACAATAATCCCCTAAGGACTTATGGTTTGAAGACCAAAGACAAAATAACGAAGTAAGTGCCTTTTTCAAGTAGGTTTAACGCAACTCAGACAACCAAGATCAATACTTGTTTTTTTGCCAAGACCGATTTTTGTCTTAAACGTTTTTGACACGGTCCCAGATGTCAATGACATCTTATCATGATGTCATCAAAGCACGCTGTGATAAGTATTTCTCTGGTTTACCCTGTAATTATAATTACTATTCTGCATGTCGGACGCTCCCAGACTAGAAAGTTTCGGGTCACAACTAAATATAGGTTGAATTTAATTGAATTAAATGGAACCATAAACGTTAATATAAGCTGCCATTCAGTTGAGTTGTCCATACAGATAGCACATGTACGTTTCATGGGCTTTTAACTCGGATTTCAACTGGGCTTTCGACTGTTCTTGGACAGCAGGGCAGGGGGAACAACAAAAAGTAAAACATGCGCAAGAAGTGCCTTGAGAACCTGAATTATATCTTAATTAATTAAGCAATCCAATCGTCTTTTGCGATCAAGCAATGGGTATAATGTGCCAAAATTTAAAATTGAAATATTCCCATGCTCTTTTATTCCAAACTCACTTTTAAAATGTCAGTAATAAAATGCATGAGTTCATTCTTTAGGAAGAAGTTTTAAAGCTGCAGTGTCGTTCTTTTAACTTGGTTTTATTTAAGCATGAAACAATTTATTGATTTTGTGATAATCTTAAAATTTGAAATTCAACTTCAACCAATTGGGTTCCAATTTTATCAATAAATCATCATCATCGATATTATTATTTATTTTTTAATTACCATCTACAGTTTCATAATGTCCAAATAAGTACTTCCAACACATAACCAAGCGCTTCGTCATGCGTCGCTATCAGAAGGTTATGATCTATACGGACAAGTATTATACAAGTATTGATAAGGAAAATAGACAGCTGATAAATTATATTCTTTCAAACTATTTTTGTGCTGCTCTTGTGTATGGAATGCGTGTACATAAAATGAATGTAGGAAATGGCACTGCTGCTTCCATAACTAACACCAAAAACTTTTTGGCACTTATTTATTTCATTTTTAAGATGAGAAATAATCATTTCACTGACTACTATTCGGTAAAAAAATGCATAAATGGCACTTGAGTGTTGATTCAATATCAACTTTATTTCCTATCTCCGGTTGGGTTATTAAGTAGGCATGTACTCATTTATTATGTAATGGAACATAACTGATGTAATGGACACTGGTTTCTCGAACAACCATGTGAGTAATTATCGGTTTCCAAACAAGGTTAGCCCACTACATGTACGCCACCGATGATACGATAGCCTTGTTTGGTGAAAGGTAGACCTCACAAAGTGTATATGTGATTAAACCACTTGTAGTTATAAATACAAAAGGAACTGAAAACTAAACCATCAAGGCAAATATATCGCAAAAGTATGGCAGTGTATTGTTTGACATACATGTGCCGAGAAAAAGTGCTTGCATTTCGCCCCTAAAGCCGAATAAAGCGTACATGTATATGTGTATAAGAATATCTACATGTAGCTATGTAATGCATGTAAATGAAGGCACAATTAAATGCTCCCAGAATCTCATTAAATGACACATAATTGGAAAAGCTTTATCCAAATAATCATGTGATATATATGTATATATTTTTCATTGGATTTGAAATTTACCAAAAATGTCTGTGTAGTTGTGTAAGTCACTTAGAATATCTCATGTACTCAATCATCGTCCCAAGGCGGGCGCTTTGAACGATTTCGCCATTATCTAACTCCGATATTTGTTGTGGTTAAAGAGATAGCTGTCAACCTCACTCCATTTCAATCCCATGGCCTCACTCTTAATCTACTGTATGTGAAGCTTAAGAGTAAATTCAGAACTGTCCACTTAACTTTTTTCTCAAAGAGAAACCTCAGTCTACTAAACCTTAATTTTGGGAAACCATTAATTCCTGATAGTAAGGCCGTTTATCGATACTCTCCCGATTGAATGAGATAATAATTCGACTTAAATTATTAACACATTCATTTCTCATAGTGGCATTTGTTGAGACTCAGAAAAAAGCAGCGGTAAATATGGCCAATGTTGGTAAAGAAGCGATATTCCGACGGTTCGATACCAATACCGTTAGAGGCCGACATGAATGGATGTGTACCTTACGATGCACTGTCTCGACTTACTGTAGGTACCCAGCTAAATTAGCCAAAACTTTTAGATCAAAATTTGTTCAAGGTAAAACTTCAGCAACTCATTTAAATGAAGTATTGGTCTGAAACATTAACCATGTCTTTCTTGATATAAAAACAGGATTACTGTTTTATTTCAATTGGACTGCTACTTATTTATGTTGGGTCAAATTGAATGTTTAGACCAATTTTCAGGCCAGGTCCAATGCTCCCTCACCATCCAAGCACTTCATTTGGCATTTTAATATGTTCTCTTTTAAATACATTCTTTACAAAAATAGGATGTTTTATTTTTTATTTTATTTTATTTATTTTTTTATTTTTTTTTTGTGCAACAGAGTCTTTTATCAATAGCATGACTGAAAGGGGGTTTCTTTTCATAAATGTGTTCTAAGAATAGGAAAGGGCTAAAGATCGCCTCCCCCCCCCCCCCCAGACATGCGCGCGTTTCACACAGGCAGTCATCATAGCTAGCACCCTCCTCATCATGGGTTTGAAGTGAATTAGGTTTCGTTCGATAAATTAATATGAAATTGAATAGCATTTGAATGGTGTTCATTTTATGTAGTCTTCCTAACAATGGAAACATATAAACTTTAAAACTTAAGGGTGTTTGGTAGAAGTAATACCACAAATCCATTTTAAGTAACATTTAATATAATAGTATTATAAAGGGTATCCCTTTGTTTAATTAATACCTTAAGTTCTTTTGAGAAGTAGTCTGTACGAGGCAAATTCAATAAAGTAATCATCTTTATCATCCTTATCCAAATAACATAACAAAAATGGAATAACTTTCTTCATATTTATATTTATATTTATATTTATTTCTAAATAGTACAGAAAACGAAAATAAAATAGCCGAGTGACCTACACTTTGACTACCTTTTACAGCACATACATGAAAGACTTGGCAATAGAGGTAATAAAGTATCGCTGAACAACTGAAATTGAAACACACATACTGGAACATGCAATAATGAATCTGAAGATGTACGTGAAGGAACAATATATCTGAAGTAGACATTGGCTAAGACGCCATCTATCATTTTGATACAACAGTACAAGTATGACGTAACGCGTGAACGTGAACTTTATGTACAGCATCTTCATGTCCTGCTACATTTATGTACTTTATACTATAGTGAGTGAGATCGTCCGTTACTTAGGTGCGAAGTATGCAATGGAATGAATGGATGGTTCAAATAGACAACGTGTTTTATGGTTCTTTGGCAATTTCAGGAGCCTTGGTCTCGTCAGGGGTTTCGGTTGGTGCGACTTCTGGGATTTCTCCGGATCCGTCGTCCGGGTCCTCGGCTGGATCAGGACATCTAACTGCCTTCAGGTTGGGGGTTTTACATTTGGCTTGAAGAAACTCACAGCTGCAATATAATTTTATAGAATAATATATCATATTTATTTCATACCACCATAATGTGCAGTTACAAGTACCGGTATGTAGGACATGTATGTCCAATGTATAAAAACCGTGTATTCGTACAACGTAGCACTTCAGGTACCTACCTCGCAATGAAATATACCTTGGTTTTTGTATAAAAAGGTTATTTTCAGTTGATTGTTTTACTCTTTATGCATGTACCTCGATACATGGCTTAGTAAGTTAAATAATTACTTACTTATCAAAAAACGGTATTAAAAATGATATATTGCACATGCAAGTAACCATTGTGATGTGTATTGTATACTTACATGTTGGAGTACACGTCACCGTTGACGTCACATATTTCTCTAGCGGGAAGTGCAGAATCGGAACAGTTGGCATTCTGGATCATCACACATAGTTCAGCCAATTTTGGAAACAATTTTGGAAAGGGACGACCACTAGGTTTGCTTCTGCCAAATCCTCGCTCCTGGCCAGAGCCTGGGGATTTGGAACCACGCGACTCCTTTCCTGGGCGAGCAAATCGACCTCGTCCACGGACTCCTCCAAATCCTCGTTCCTGGCCAAAACCACGGGACACCTTTCCTCCTCTTCTGCCGAATCTCTCAGGTGGACCTCGTCGTGCAGTGACAAGAAGGATTACTAAGATAAAAAACAAACCATTCTAAACTACCATGTCTGATTATGCTCATTTTAGAAAGGAAATGGAACCGTTCATCCAATCTGTCCATGCTCACACTTGCAGTTTGTTAGGTAAAAAATATAGTTTATTTTCGTAAAACTAGTCAAATCATTAAATTTAATATACGATTGGCAAGATATTGAATGAATATGTCTACTAATAAGTGAATCCGATTTGCTTCATTTAAACTCCCGAATCAGAGTGAATAAATGAATAAGAAAACAATAAGGTTTTTCAAAGAAATAATAAATCAACTACAAAAATGATATAGTCTGAAAACTGAACTTACCGCTTAAAACGAGAACAGAGGCCAACAGAAACTTCATTTTTGCTCTTAGATGTAGATCAGCTTCAAAACTGGTTTTCTCTTTGGTTAACGTAAAAAGCAGTGTTTGGTCAATCTATATATATAGGGAAAGGAGCATGGTGAGATCGAGTCACTTCCGGAAACTTTGTCACGACTTAAGATGTTATCTCGTAGTCGACTGGACCATGAAGGAGTCATGTGCCTGATGCCAACCTTGATGACGCCACAGACGGAGCGGCCGGGTCGTTAACACCGTGGTAAGTATGGTGAGATGGGCCTATCATTGAACTATCTTTACAGGGTGCTCCAAAATATTTTGGTCGTGGATCAGTGTTTATCAATTAAACATTTATCTTGACTTTCCGTGGTTAATTGATGTTTCGCAAACATGTTTTTTTTTGTCTTGGTGCTGAGGAACATATCTTGATTCTTGGTTTATTTATCCATTTAGTAATAAAATTAAAAAATCGCAACAACAGTAAAACAACAAGGTCGTTTATTTTCCCCGTTTGTACGCCGTTCTAAGGTAAACAATATTTCGCTACCCTCTGTGTTAAACCAGCCGTGGCAAACATCTATCGTAATATTTCAAGCGGCACTGCAGCCAGGCAATGACACCTTGCACGTGAGTCCTGTATCTGGGCTATAACGGTCAAGGGTCTTTCACAAAATGTCCACAGTTTTTTATTTAGTTAAGCTTAAAATGTCTAAATGGTAAAGAAAAAGCAACGAATCAGGCGGTCTTTATAATACTTCTTAGTCGTATAAGATCCATATCAGTCTTTGTGAAGACGGAATGATAATTTTACTTAATTGTTTATACGTCCCCCAACATCTAGATGATGTCTTATCATAGTGCCATCAAGCACTCTGTGGTTAGTACCACACTGTACTTTGGTTTATCCCGTAATTGGAAAAACTATCATGAATCTATTCTCGGTACTGTTTTGCAGTCTGGAAGGTTTCTAGCATCAGCTATATATTGACCGCGTTAAAACAAATAGTGAAAAGTAGCATACACGTTGCTATATACAATTGATAATTGCTAAGTGGACATATTAAGAATTTTCTTTAAATAACTTTAAACATCTCATATGCACATGAATGAAATGTATATGTATAATTGAATATGAATTAAGACATCGATCGGGCATGCTTACGGCATCAGCTTTTAATAACTGGTATCTGAAACTGGGTTGATATTTTGAAGATAAGAAGTAATCAGATATTTCAATACACGGACCATGACTTGCACGGGAGGACAAAAAATGAGTAAAACGCATTCACGTGCTGAATCATTTTAAGCTTTTCTTTCTACTTCCGGCTGATTTACGCGCAGTATGGATCTACTAGTCATTTATTAATATTATATAATGCACTCTGAATACATGTATAGCCTTGTGAGTTATCCTGGGCTTTCAAATAATTCGTGATATCAGAGATGGCGTGATGACCCCTGCTTTTTTTTCACTCTGGAACAAGTCAAATAAAGTCGAAATATGTCATAAGCAGATTTTAGTACTTTCACTATTTTTCATTGATGCCCAGCACTTATTTCCCCATATTCATTCATTCAAAGCACTGTATTCATATGCGTTTTCTGGATTTTTTCAGTGTCCGAATATTACCCGACCACTTGCCTTTAAAAGCCTACGACGTACAAGCTCGGGTACCCCTGTACGTTTTTTTTTTTTTTTTTTTTTTTTAATTTTTTTTTTTTTCGAAAATGGGGATAAGTTCAAAATTTTCATTAGCTATGTAGTTTCAATAGAAATATAGACGCTTTTTCGATAGCTTGAGAAACATTGACTGGTAAAGTACATGTATCAGTTTAATTTTTCAAGCTATTGGGAAAAAGCTACATTTCTAGAGAAAGTGAGATGTATCAATCATCTAAAACTTGATCAATATGATGAATATTTATTACCTAAATTCGCTATTTATTGATGGAGAGAATGTCAATGTTTTTTTTTTTTTTCCTTTTCTTCTTTTATGGGTCTCGAACTCTACGCAATGCGCAACGCATTTCATTTGGTGATGTGCTATGAATGTGCACTATTTACAATACGATGAAAGATTCAATTGTGAAAGATATCATCGATGATAGTGAATTAGTTGACACTCGTTTATACCCTTGTGTGTAAATAAAGACATCCCGATGTACCAGAACAGTGTGTTCATAAATACACAGTAGAGACTGGTCGATAACGGAATTAGACCCATGATCTCTGCTGCACCCGTCTGTCACCGCTACCACACGACTAGATCTGCTCTCTGTTTATCTCAACACAATCCGATCTATTTCTGTTGGCATGACGCTGTCCCCAAGGTGCAGTTAAATGAATTGGAAGAGACTTGCAGTAATAATCCAGCATTTCACTTTGTTGCACAGCGAAGGCATTGTGACAGTTAATCGAAACCCTTAAATTTAAAAGATCTAAGGCCTGTATTCAAAAAAGCCCACTCACACTCAATTTAATTAGAGGAGATTAGTGCAGGAGACTGAAAAAACCATGCCCTTGGCCTTTAAGCACGAAATATGGTATTCTCAGTTATTCTTGACACAGATTGGCTCTCTTCTCAATTGAGGTATGTCTAAAATTTGGATAAGTCGCCATAAGTCCACGCACGTTTATTTTGTTTTATTAATAGACTGGTTATTCGGTAATTTTCCCTGTGAATAAGCTGTCAGCATACCCATCGAAAAAATTAGATAATGCAGTAATTTGCTATAGGGGTCTACGTTCATTTTGATTAATTTTGACTGCTTCTAGACATCATGCTCTATCTTCCCACGGTTTGGGCTCCATCTGAAGTCTGATCAATGGACCTAAATCTCCCAGGGACTCACTTTAACAATCTGTAAAATGCGTCTTTTTATTTCCCACACCTGCTCATGCAATGCGACTCGTCTTTAACGATTTTCCCCCCTCCTCAAAAGAAATCCTCCCTTCTTTAAGCGTACGTCCCTAGACGAAAATTCTCGACGCTGATTGCTTTTAACTCATCACCGAAGTGAGTGGAGAGATAACTCAGTGCTGTCTGCCTCACTTTACGTCAAACTAACATCTCTGTCTGATCTGAACTCTTCTTTAACATCCCTTAACTGATGAGACAGAGCTCCGTGTCTCGACCATTGCCTTAAAAATGCAACAGGTGTGATCCAAATAGATGGAAAACGATGGACACGACAAGTCTTTCATGTCCCATAGTAATACAAAGATAACGAAAAATGTATTTCAGGTGGCTCGAAAAAAAAAAAAAAAAAACGTTACGAATCTTTAAGTTTAAAAACTTCAAAAATTTAAAGATCAATGACATTAAGGATATTTTAGGAAAAAAATGTTTTTTATAATGCTGAAATTTTCGTGACTCTATCTTATTTACTTTTGGCGAGTGGCACCTGTCATGTGTTTTTGATTTGATGATTATATCAAAATGTTCACTTTGACACTTGAAGTTTTCAGTGTTGACACATAATAATGCATCAGAGATCAATGGAAAATTTCAATTCAAAGCTTTAGAACTGTTGAAGTAATTGAACTTTCAAATTATGAGCCAACCGATATACGAAAAGAACGACGATTTTCGATTGTTTCATTTTTTTATTCGTGAGTCTCTGATGTCCCTGTATACAACAAAACTAGTTATCTGTGTTAAGAATATTCCTTTTCCACCCAGTGAAGTCATGAAAGACGCACCCTGAGCAACAAGCAAAGACAGTTGTCTTTTGCTCTGAGTTTTGTAAAACTCACAGGAAGGGTTGATAGAAGGAAGAATATCCCCGGCCCACCCACAGTGACAGCGTAAACCTGTAGTAGTATATGTATGTTTTCAGGGAATATTTGTAGCAAGCCGGTTTTGCTCTGCATAGTTTCTGGTCCTGCAATTTTGCACTTTCAAATGATATCCTTTTTTTAAGTAACCGATTTACAAAATGAACTGCTTGGTAGAACCTGTAGTGCGGATGCCGAAAAGGTACAGAGTACTTCAATTTGCACTGACACTTTAACACACAAGGGTTTTCGCTGGGTGATTAACCAAGTGCAATCCTTTTAATATATGGAGAACCCGTATCACTGAAACGATCACGCGTGCGTTGGTGTCGTTTACCTCAACTTATTGAATTTTTTCATTTCCTTGCCATAACCATAATGGGCACTGTTGCTATTACCCGCTCTTCTTAAGTATATAAATTAAATCTTATACTGAAAGATAAAAGCTAGGCAAGACATTCAGTAAGAATGCGAGCCGAAGCCGAACAGTCTTATAATCTTCTGGGGATAGAATTACTTAACGAAGATCATCTTGGGAAAATGATAACCGGTGAAGTTTAACCATTGGGTTGGCTCATTGAATCGTTCACATTAAATTAGGCGCACTTTCTGTTGCTGGTCTGTAAGTGCGCTTTCTCTTTATTTGAAATTAAATTGCACTGATCGAACAGAATACCTCAGGGTAAATATGCATCAAAATTACCCCGCAATATAATCATCTATTGCTGTATATTTTCATTATGTGTGACGAACACAGTCTGTGACGAAGGACTGAAGTCTGGAAAACCCATGTTAACTGCTGGCATTGTCATAAAAACGTTGGCTACATGACAACTCGTCTTTTGACTACTATCACACAAAATTAAGTCAAAAACGCCATTTCCACCAGGATGACTTGATGGATCTACACGAGGTCCTAGCTGTCTTATTATAAATCTTGTGTGTAATATTAATCTCTGGGGGTTATTGAAGAAATATGAAGTAACCAGGAAAAGTTGCACGACCGACAAATCTCATATTCGTTGGTAAGTTTTTTTTTTTTTTTTTTTTTTTTTGACGTAACGCATTACTTTCTGTTGGATTTCCATTGTAATCTCTGTTGCATATTAGCTTCCCTTGGCGTCTATTAAGAAGTCTCCAATTACGCATTTAAATGATCCGCGCAAGATTTATTAATCTTGTTAGGAAAGATATTGTCATCGTTGATTATCCACTGTCTAAATAATAGAATTGTTCAGCGGTATCTATGGTGCTTCGTGGTTACTTGCTGCATGCGTTTCTTTTTCAAGATTAAAAAACTTTATTTTACCCTTTCAAACACCCTTAAGTTGGAATTTCGTTGATGAATACTGAAAACCAGCCAAATATAAGTTATATAAGTATATGTTATATAAGTATATGTTAGTTTGAAATTCCATCTTAAATATGAGATTTGCATTGTATTGTACGTCTTTCTTCATCTAACAAGAACGGTTCCGAACGCCCAATGTAAGCGTAACAATGGTTTTATTGTTTATAAAAAATTCAGATATAAAACGTTTTATGGAAATTGAAATAGGGATTGTATAATACTTGAAAGCAAAACAAGAGTATTTTACGTTGTAAATACCCCAACGTATGCTGTAGCACCAACATGTAAACTGAAGTCGTCACGTTTACGACAATATCTCCCAAATCCAGCAGTTGTTCCATTAGCAAAGCCGACAAGAACTATGGATATACATGAGGCATATAAAATCAATTGTGATGCTTTATAAATACAGCGTTGCTTAATTCCGTTCTTCAATTTCAATAAAGCAGTCGGTGAGCATTTGAAATCTGAGCGCCAACGGCATAGCAAGATCCATGGGGCGAGTCAATGATAAAGCAGCACACATGGATATCTACGATTCGGTACTAATGCACAAAAAAGTCTTGTTTTCTACCATGTGATTTGGTACGCATAGTGTTCAATTATTTTTTTTGTAGAGCTTGGCGAGTACGTGATTATAAGAAGTTGAATAATGTGCAGAAGCGGAAAGCATTGTTATTCGCCTTTACCAAGGTAACGCAAGTGTCATTTATTGTAATAGTAGTTGGTACCTGTCAATGATATGTGATGTAATTCCCCTGTGCCTTTATCGCACGACACAGGTAACAAAACAAAATACGACTTCACAGCTAAGTAACCCAGTACAATACGTATATTCTACGTGGCTGCTGTATTTTACGTTATTAAGGCGTGCTTTAAATCATGCAACCAAATCCAGAGAAGAAAAGCATATAGACAGAAAGCTGGGAAATAACCGTGAGTATGATAGAGATGAATGTTTTCAACACAGGTATGCATGGAGGCGCTACCGCCAGGGATTATGCAAGGTATTCCACAGATTCGTTAAATATTGATAATTGTCCCTGTAAACCGTGGTTTTGTATTGTCATTTGACGTTATAGCTGCAAGCACCACCGAGTAGAGAGAGCAAGCTTAACGTTTCTTCAAGCAGTAAGGTTTACAATAATGTTCGCAAACATAAGTGACTTAAATGTTTATTTCCTTTTACATGTAGACACGCCGGCGTGTGTCCGATGTGAAACAATCAATAGACGCCTGTGAGTTTTAAGAACAACAATATGGCCGTTGGAAAAAGCCTTGTCTTCTTCATTATCTTCCTTGTTCACAACACTGAGGCTGCTGTTCAACCCCGGATGGAACTCACAATGTACGTGTTTTCTTTACGTGAGTTTTTAAAGATTTCTTTCATTGACAAACATTAGTTAAGTTGCAAGTGTAGGCCAATACAATGTAGATATGTTGACTTCACACACCAATTCAAAATGGGTAACAGTATACGCACATATCAATTGGACCCTAAAAGTCAATAAGGGGGGATGCAGAGATTTCAAGATTAAGGGATGCCATATCTTAGAGGTACATCTTACTTTTTCCTCTTTTTCATCTTTTCCATCTAGATTTATCTTGATTTAATTATATTTCTTTAACCATCTCAATATTATGGCAGTGCATGTGTAATATTCTGACTGCCCTGAACATTAGGCAACACGTACTTTCTGTTCCTGATGACAGACTCCTTAACATGGGATATAATAACAAGTACGTTTTTTTTTCACTGAGGGGCCACTGTGCCCGTTAAATCAAGTATATTATGACTGATTGCCTATCATGGTTTCTGTTTTTTTTTTTCATATAGCACGGAATTTCTGGACAAGGTTCTGGTCGGATATGACAGACTACAACCTCCCCGAAAAGGTAACAGATAAAAAATAACTTTTTTTATAATTAATGGTGCATTAATAAATATCTGCGTTATTGATTTTGCCTCACTATTTCATGGCAGTTTAATGGGGCGTCGGTGATAAATGTCCCGTTTTTCACCGTCTATAGAATTTCAGAGCTAAGCATGGTATCAGTTAATGCATTTATCATATTCATAAGACTCTTTTTCTAATAATAACGCAGTCGATTATATGCGTTTCCTTCTATATTTGGGATGACAAAAAGGAAAAACTGGGATATTAGTATTAGATACACAATGTGGACGCAAAATATAGAAGTTGTAGCCATTAACAGTGTTTCAACGATTGTAGTCGCTGTTAAAAAGAAAAGAACTGATAATTTTATTTTCTGCTGACTACATGTGTGTACAGTGGTCCGAACAAATAGAAAAATTCAATCCGGGAAGGCGCATTTGCGACTGAAATTTCGTTTGCCTGTCTTCAGCCACATAACTCTCCCAAAGTAGGCCTCGATGATAAGTGACAAATACTGTGTGTGGCAAGCATATTTTTCAGATTAAAAAGTCTAGCGTTTAATCATAACAGGTCCATCGACACAACCGTATAGTATGTTGCAATGTTCATCACGCGCTATTGTATTGCGTGATTCTAGTTGAAGGTTTTCCCTGTGGTACAGATCAACAATATAACATACACAACCGGCTTTGTTAGATTAAGTACAAACTGGCTGAGAATATGAACTACTGTCGATTAAAACGAAAAGTATATCAATATCAAAAGCGCCCTGCTGTAGTTATTTTATATTATTTCCAGGCCAATCGACAAGGGTGCAATTAGGGGTGTATGTGAACAGCTTTTATTCCATTCGAGAGCAGACCATGGTACGCATAACTTTTTTTCCGGTTTTTCCAATGCTGATGTATTCGGAGAGTATGATAGTAATAGTATCTATTCACAATCTATGATTCTCTCATAAGATGGTGTTGAAAAATCAATGCTTTTGTCGAGCAATTTCCTCCATCTTCCGAGTGCAATTAATCATTTTTACTAACGTGAAAATGGTTTCGTGGCCGCTATGTCTCTCATTCATTAAGCGAATTAGCAATATTTATATGTATTATTTTTAGGATTACTCTGTGAGTATATACTTACGCCAGAGTTGGGCTGACCCAAGACTGGCGTTCGCGCCAAATGCATCACTGGGTATAGGCACGATGATTAAATTGGACAACACCTTCTATCAAAGGATATGGATACCTGACGTGTATTTTCGCAACGAAAAAAAGGCCAGCTTCCACACAGTAACCATTCATAATCGACTAATGTACTTGTACTCAAATGGAACTGTATGGTATGTCACAAAGTAAGTCCAATTTATCAGTCTCATCAAGATAAAAGAACTAAAGTAGAAATTGAATGGTCCTTAGGCGAGATGGCATCTTTTTTTTCTGTAGTATAAGCTGCGGAATCAATGCTTTGTTCCATTGACTTTTGCCATCCCCTGGAGTGTGAAGCGTGGCAATCTCATTAAAATGACAGTTATAGTACGCCATATTGCCCTCAGCATTCGCATGCTTGTTTATTGTCAAAGGCTGCTAAAGCTCGGTGCCAAGTATTGATGTTTGCTTGGTCACTGAAAGGGCATTGACTGTAAAATGCCATATTTTGTATTTTCTTATTTCATTATCCTCGTGAAGCAATCTGCTTGTGATATTAATATTTTGCCGATTGCATTGATGTCCACGATGCAAAAATGAACCAATTGCCTCACAGCGCTTCACCCTACAGAGTGATATATTCTTAGCATATTGAAAAAAAATTCTTTGAAATGTCAGGCTGTCTTTGGCTGTGATTTAATAAAAAAAAATACAGAAGCCAGTGCGCGGTGTCTACAGAAAATGTGTAATAACCACAAAATAAGACTGGCGCAGAGGTATACGATTGCAAGCAGTTTTATTACTGCGAAGGCATATAAGGCATATTCCATATTAAGCAGTACTGGAGACTCTGGAGACTCTGGAGACTTAACGCTCCAGTTGTGAGGGAACGACAACATAATATTTAGTCATCTATTACGTAAGAGAGTCGTCTGAACGGACCCCCCCCCCC